TTTGTCAATCAATGATGTCTCTTTGTAAAACTTTGTTACTTGGGAGTTTTTGGGGAAGCTAAATCCGAATTTGATGCCAAATGAAAAAAATTCAAAATGTCGGATCCAAAATGTCGACTAACATTTTTTTTAAATTTAAAAGATTCGCTTGAAAATTCCATTTTTTGTGGATTTTCCGGATCATTGAATTCAAATCTTATATCCAATTTAAAATCTAAAATGGTAGATTCAGTATGATAACCGAAAAATTTAAAAAATTTGTCTTTTTTATTACATAGGTCAATTTTTACGTTTTTCCAAAGTGGATTTAAAAATAACCATATCATCTAAGTGCACAATATATATCTTGTCTCGTACTTTTTAAAAAGAGCAATCCATCATTTTTTTGAAAGGTGACTAGATCATTATTTAAACTGAATAGCATTGCAGTGAGAGTATCCCATATGATCCCATAAGTGGACCTCGAACCCTCAAAGGTTATAATTTGTTAATGTAAATATTAAAATATTAAAATATTTAATAACATTTAATTATATATTTAAGCCTAAAGTTTCGTCTAATAGCTTAGGAATCTAATTATCGAATTAAATATTGTTTATTTGAAAAAAGAAAGATTATGCAGTTAAAAGGAATAAAAATAAATTATTTTGAAATTTTTTTATAACCTATAGGTTAGTATTTGTCAGACAAATATTTTTGAATTTTATAAAAATTGTCTGAGGGGGAGGGGTGAGTTTTGAACGTTTGCGTGACACGCTCCACTTAAATACTTAAAAGGAAAAATTAAAAAAAAAATGGGACATAGTTTTTCTAGATTTTTTTATAAACTTTCGAATGACAGTCTATTTTCAAAAATTTTTGTTATTTTGACACAAAAATATATTTTTTACTTTTCTCATCTTTGAGTCCATTTTTCTTTTAGTTTTAAAAGAAAGCTGAGATTTTTTCTGACGAAATACTTGATTTTAAAAAAACCGTTTTTTTTGTTTTCGAGAAATTAATTGTCAGTATATAATAATAATAATTTTATTTGCAGAAACTTCTAATGTATAGAAAAAAGTGTCCGCATATTCATGTTCTATAGATCTCGAATTTTCATTAAACAGCCGATTGCAGCAAATAAATTCTTTTAAAGCGTGAAATACATGTTAAAGTTCTATTATACGCGACATTTTAATGAATAAACCTGTATTAGAATAATTAATTAAACTTGACGAAAACTCGATTCGTTTTGTTTTGCTTGTTGGCCTATTGACGCCGTAGATCAAATGAATATAAACAGAGTGGAGTGGTCTGTATAGAGGTGTCTGTTTGATAGAAAGAGAAAACGATATTAGCACCAGTAGGTGTCTCTCTTGCGGTGGAACTCATTGAAGGACAGATACCCATGTAATTTACGTGACGTATAATTACATGCACATCCCTGCTGTTCAGAAAGCGCTTAAAAATTAAAATATTCTATTGACAAACATTATTATGTATACTTTCAAATGATTTTAAAAATCTAAATAATATCACAATTGCGAAAAATTTGTTTAAACACTGTATGCAATATTTTTTGTGACATAATTACACTTTTCGTCTGTCAGTATCGTCAGTATTAAATTTTAGTTCAATGCGCATGTTCAACTAAATTGGTAAAGGCTAAAGGCCAACGCAAAATAGAATCTTTAACCGGAACCGCAATCTAAGTGTAAGAGTGAGTTAAAGAAGGATAGGTATATTGATTATCCTTCTCGAACTCATTCTTACGGTTACGATTGCGGTTCCGGTTAAGGATTTTATTTTGCGTAGGCCTTAAGGTCGTTCCAGAATGAGCCAAAACGCAGACGCGACGCGTCCCAATGCTATTAAGGCCTTTCTCCAATAGGTTTTAAAAAGTGTGCGAATGACTGCGCCTGCGTCGGTTGCTATAGCAACACATGCTAAAATCAACGCAACGCAGTCATTCGCACACTTGTGATAACCTATTGGAGAAAGGCCTTTAAGGCGAGAACAGAATAGCCTACGTGAACGTGTAACGTGCTGACGTCACAATGTTATTCAAATAAGTCACGTGACCACGTTCACGTTAACGTACACGTTTTCATAGGCATTCTGTTCTCGCCTTTAGGTGAGAACAGAATCCATGGGAACGTGAACGTATGACGTCACAATGTTATTCAAATGGGTGACGTCATACGTTCGCGTTCACGTTATTCTGTTCACCTAAGGGTGGAGTCCCATGACAGCGTTTTGCGTTGCGTCGTAATGGGAGAGAAAAAGACGCAAATATACGTTTGCTGCATTCTCTCTCATTACAACGCAACGCAAAACGCTGCCATGGGACTGCGGCCTAAGGGTGGAGTCCCATGACAGCGTTTTGCGTTGCGTCGTAATGGGAGAGAAAAAGATGCAAATATACGTTTGCTGCATTCTCTCTCATTACAACGCAACGCAAAACGCTGCCATGGGACTGCGGCCTAATCAAATGGGAACGCGTCGCGTTTGCGTCAAGTCCTTCTAGAACGACGCAGAATAAGCAAAGATATATTTGTGTCCTTTTCTATCTCATGCATCTCGTCAGCGAACAACTTTCGCGAACATTGAGGCCGTTCTACAATAGGATCCCAAAAGCAAATATTGCATTAAGGCCTACGCAGAATAGAATCTTTAACCGGAACCGTAACCGTAAGCGTAAGGGTGCAATCCCATTACAGCAGAATACGTCGACCGAAAGCAGAAAATCATGAGTGCGAAAGAGATAGATAGATATTGTTGTTCTTTTCACTCTCATGATTTTCTGCTTTCGGTCGACGTATTCTGCATACATGGGATCGCACCCTTAGAATGAGTTAGAGAAGAATAAACAATATACCTATCCTTCTTTAACTCATGCTTACGCTTGCGATTGCGGTTCCGGTTAAAGATTCTATTCTGCGTAGGCCTTTAATTGTAACGGAAACTAATTATTTTATTCTAATATTTAACTATTCTTTTAAAATCAAAGTTAACAGTATATAAGTATATTAAAATGTTTACCTTAGGCTGTGTCCACATGCTTGCGTTCGAACGCTGCGTTTTGCGTTGAACAGCAGTGAGTGTAACAAGGATAGAATTATATGTCTTTCTTTCTCCTTAAGGCCAACGCAGAATAGATCTGTAACCGGAACCGCAATCGTAACCGTAAGCGTAAGAATGAGTTAGAGAAGGATAAACAATATACCTATCCTTCTTTAACTCATTCTTACGGTTACGCTTACGATTGCGGTTCCGGTTACAGATCTATTCTGCGTTGGCCTTTATTATTCAATGCAAAACGCAGCGTTCAAAATTCAACATAACCTAAACTACGTATCAATGTTAACTTAGTAATAGTATCAAAATTTTTACTCACTTGTACAAAGTAGCCAAACTCTATTCAAAACATAACGGTCAAGAAAGCGTAAACCGAATCGTAAAATTTACACGAGAGAGAAAAGGATAGAAACATTATTTGTCTTTTTCTATCTTATGTAAAGAAACGCAATGATAAAAGTAAATAAAAAAAAGATATATACTTCTATCCTTGTTATACTCACTGCATACAGCACACAGCTTAAGGTGCATTCGCATGGTACACTGTAAAAAAATCTCTTGTAAATTTACTATGTCCGACGTTGAAAAGTTTGGTCACTGACCATGTCTCCACCGTCGGTATTTAAGGCCAACGCAGAATAGATCTGTAACCGGAACCGCAATCGTAACCGTAAGCGTAAGAATGAGTTAGAGAAGGATAAACAATATACCTATCCTTCTTTAACTCATTCTTACGGTTACGCTTACGATTGCGGTTCCGGTTACAGATCTATTCTGCGTTGGCCGTTAGCCAATCCGGTGTTAAATAAATCCTGTAAGATGTGCGTCTCCACCGCTAAGATTAACGTAACATCGATGCGAGAGAAATACCGGATTGGGGTATGCGCCTTGTAAACTTGGTTGTGTTGCAAAGCGCAAATTGACTTTATAAAATATATAACCTATAAGTTGGATATAGTTCGTTTCTCATTTGCAGCACGTGAAAATTTTAGAATGAGAAATAACCGAAAGAACTATTTAAATTTCACCGTTAATTAAATCCACTTTAAAAGCGAGGCCGTCTCCACTGTATGAAAATCAGTATTTAATTAATCCAACCCTGCACTCTCAGCAGGATTGGACTTATTTAATACCGACCCGTCTCCGCCGCGCATTTTCGATATTTGTCCAATAATATTTTCTATTATTTTCGAAGAAAAAGCATACGTACATCTTCTGACCTTTTCTACCTTATGTGAAGTTTATAATTTACGTCTTATGATTTTAAATGTTTTAATTACGAATTTACAATTAAATTATTAATATATTTAATGTATATCAAAACATTTTTATAACTCAAGTAATGTGTATTTAAAAATTATTTATTTGCACTCTAATATAACTCACTTAGAAAAAACGACAAAGCTCCTGGTGACAAGTGGACAAACTAAAAAGTTTCATTAGTTAGAAAAGGATAGAGATATGTTCATCCTTATCTTACTACTGGAATTTTTTAGTTAGTCCACTTGCCACCAGGAGTCATGCCGGATTTAGGAGAATCATATATTAAAATTCAGTATGGGATAGAAAAGGACAAACAATATACCTATCCTTCTCTAATTTATTTCTTTTAAATAAAATTTTTAGTTAAAATTAATTCTATTTGTTTAAAATAATAATTTTTGACCGAAAGGCATCTTAGTTTGAACAAATAAAATTTATCGTTTTGTTATATTTGGTTATCAAATAGATATAAATTAAAATAAATTAAATATTAATTAAATTATAGTTCAGAAGTGAGAAATACTATATTTACCCGTTTCCGTAAAATCGTTCTACATACCAACGTTGTTCCGCGGCGATGCGTCGATATCTAGCTATCGAACGGTCAGTGGACAAACACCGACCATTGTAGAATTACCATTAAAATCCAGCGCGTCACTGTTGAGAGTGTAGAGCCCTGGTGCTTTGCCACTACCCATTGGTATAACATGTACAAGTTTAGTGCCGACAGAATACTAGAATTTTTCGTTGGATATCCTATTTATAAACTATTGTGATATTTAAACGAAACATTTCTAACAAAGTTCTGGCAAATTTTTTCATTCCGAAAAATTGGACCTCATCTATATTTAGAAAGGTATACATACTTTTTTTTATAAAAAAAACACTTATAATATAAAACATTCTAATTCTGACCCGACCCGGGTCAAGTCTCTAATTTATAAAAGTAGTGGATAGAATGGAATATTTTACTTAATTTTAAGATTATTTAATATGTATAGTAAGAAAACTTTATTGCTTATGTCACATATTGCTTATTGAAAGTGGTATAAAATACATATACTACTCTGAATTAACTATTGAATTCATGGAACGCATGGGTCAGTTCACAAGTCTATTTTAAACACATGGTAATTGCTTAAGTGTGTTAGAAAGAAATCGAGAATATTCGCTTTTTTTCTAACGCATTGAGTTAATGTTAGACTAACACTAGATATGAAGCATGAAATAGAGAGAGAGACAAAAACATGCTGTCCTTCTCTATCTCATTCTTCACAGTATCGTACCAATTATATTCTGTGTTTTAGGCCTGAATTTAGTACTATTTGGAAAAAATACCGAAAATTAACCATCATTTCCTTCTTTTCTCCATTTTTTAAGATTCTATCTCTTTTTACAGTAATTTTTACATTGGAAAAATTGTTTTTTAATAATAGCCCTTCATATCTAGAACATGGAATTAAATTAAAGAAACTAATTTTTATGTTCCAAACCCCCAAAATATATTAGAAGGAAAGCGTTTTAGAGAAAAATGTTAAATACAAAAGTTAGGTTCAAAAAAATAGATTAACAAATTTTTTTGAACCTATAACAACTTTTGTAATTAACATTTTTCTTTAAAAACGCTAAGATATTTTGGGGGTCCAGAACATGAAAAATCATTCTGTATTCATTTTTTTTAAATGAATAAAATTCTTTGTTACACAACTCGTGACTGTTTTAATACTTTACACCAAAAAAATTATATTTATCGGTCAGAAGATTTGAACCCTCAATTTTCAGTATCGGAGACTAACAGCTTTTCCGCGCAGCTATATTAACTATATACTATAAATACTGAATTTTAAAAGTACTTACCTTGCAGAGTGCTGCAAAATTTAAATAAGAATTATAAAATTACGAAATTCAAATTACACTTACCGCAGAGTATTTCGGAATTCAAAAGTATTGAAAAATTTGAAAAATATTAAAATGCAATAATTAATTTGGAATTCATTTTCGAGAAATTTTAGTCTCGAAAAAGAATTTGACATAAACGGAAATTAAAAGAATTGATAATTTAACATTTTTTGTAATATTTATAGGAAAATTGAAAATTAGCGAGAACTGACGTTCAAGAGAACAACTTGACAAATTTTAAATTATAAAATGTAAACATTTTATATTAAAATGGCATATTTTTTTTAAAAAGTATCATAATTTCTAGAAATGATGTTTAATATCCGTAGAATTTATTTTTGATAATTATTTTCAAATTCTTAAATTTAACTTGAAATTTTTTTTTTAATTGAATTGGAAAGATGAAATCACGGAAAGATGTTAGTTTGACATTTGTGGAAGTTTTATCAAAGCTCATGGAAATCATTTTGAAAATATAAATTTTTTGATTTATATTTGCTAATTTACTTGTATATCAATAAATTATTAGGTAAACATACCCAAAATAATAGATAAAAATAGATTTTAAAACTTACCTAATATTGAAATGTTAAAAGTCTAATTTTAATTACACTTTTCTATAAAGCTTGTAAATAGTAAAAAAAAAATTATCACTGCCTATAATATTAAGTATATTTTCAATGTACTTTCATATTAGGTGTTGATTCTAAATTTTATAATAAAGAAATGTAAAAAATTCTACCTTTAATTTTGAGTCTTTCAGGATTTTTGTTGCAATATCTTCTTAGCTGTAAAACGAAAGAATCAAATTTTGATCTTAATATTTAAGTTATACCTTCTTTTCCACCCTATCAGAATTTTGACGATGGGGAACGAGCTGCTTTCTAGTTTTATTCATATTCAAAAAAATGAGGAGCAATTTTTCAAAACTTGATAAATCTATATTTTTCATATTTTCTTATTTCGAGAAATTGAAGCAAATAACTTTTTGTAAAATAACCACTAGAGTTAATTTTCAAATAAATTTGTAATAATTTATTTCTATAACCATGTTTTTATATTAAAGATATTCTGTTTTTAATTTCACTTTATCATACCTAATTAGGAATTAACTGATTTAAAGGTTTTGATAATAATAAAATAATAATAATAAAAATAAGAAGTTTATTTAATATTTATTTAAATTGAAAATTCGTTAATAATTTTTTCTTAGTTTTGAAAAGTGATAGGTGGTATTGTAAAGTCTAAATTTATCTCCATTTTTTAAAAAAATGTCAATTTATGATTTTTAATGTTTGCAAATTTTTTAGAAAAATGTAATTTTTGACATTTCCTACATAAGTTTTAAAATCTGTTTTTATCTATTATTTTGGATATTTTTACCTATATACAAGTAAACTAACAAATATCAATCGAAAAATTTGTATTTTCAAAATTTTTTCCATGCTTTTTTATAAAATTTCCATAAATGTCAAACTTAACCTCTTTCCGTGCAACTCAACTTAAAAATCGAAATTACAAGTTAAATTAAAAAAATTTTTTTAAATAGTTGTCAAACTATCACGGATATTAAAAGTCATTAAGACGAAGTATCAGATTTTTCCAAAATTTTTCAAAAAATTGGCCGTAACGACTTTAGGTGAAATATAACAGATTGACCCTATTATATTAGATTATATAATTTCAAGGCTTACAAACTTTTTAATTTAAAGAATTAATTAATTTATTTAAAATAATAAAATTTAGAATCTGTTATTTTTCAGGTCCCTCAAGTTAGCGTCGAGGCTCAGCGTCGAAAACTCTACTTTTGTTTGTCACTAATTTCACTTATTTCATTCATCTAGAAAGTTAAAATATTATTAAAAGTACTTTTCAATCTAAACCCTTTGGAAAAAATGTGAAATTCTTTTAAGTTTCGTAAAAAAATGTTTTTCGACGCTCAGCTTCGACGCCAACTTCAGGGACTCAATGTTTGACAATAAATAATATGTAAAATTTATTCTAGAATATTTTAATTTTAAAAAAGTAATAAATTATCTCGAAAACTATGAATGTTAGTTTAATACATTTTCTATTTAAATATACAAGTTGTAAATTATTTTACTTTCAATAATAAAATCAAAATTCTTTAACGTCTGAGTAGTTACTATACTTTACTGTTTGTTAAAATATTATATTAAAGAATCATTGTTCAATCGTCTTCGTTTACTGAACTTCAAGGTCACCGTTAGATGGCAGTTCAGTTCCTTCTTGGAATTTTTACTGACATCAGGTGATGACCTTGGCGTTCTCAAGTGGAGAAAGTAAACTATCATTTTATCCATCAATTATTAACTCCCTCAAATTAAATTATTCTCACAATAACATTTTTTTAATTATTATTAAAAAAAATGTTATTCTGAGACAACTGTTTGAAAAAGTTCCTTAAAGTGAATTTTAATTTTGTAAAATTTTAAGTGAGTTAAATTTTTAAATATTGAATTGTTCATTTCACTGAATTTTTATTTGTCGAAAAACAAATAAAAATTTTCAAATATACATTTAAGATTGTTCAACCACTTAACAGAACCTCAAACTGAAAATTGTTTCCAACTCAAAACAAAAATTATTATAATTAAAAATGGATTTTTCCAAATATTTAAAAAGTTTAATAATATACAATTTTAAGAAAAAATAGTTGAATTCAAAAGATAATAAAATAATTATTATTATTTGTGACGCGATCGCAAGAAAGGTACTTAAGAAGCAAACGAATTATAAAGTATGTTTCTGCTAGATTTAATATAATAAATTATTATCTGTCAATAATAACTTTTGAACATTTACTCATCTACACTTTTTTATCATATAAAAAAATTTTGTTTATTTAAAACCGTAATTAATTTTTCAGTTTTCAATGTTTAATTTCTATTTCTAATTTTTTTTTGTTATATTCAATTTTCTCGCTTGTTTTACTTTTTAACATTTTAAAATTTAATAAAATCTGTTTTTGTGGATGTCACATTCGGGCCGTTGATTATTAATCTAAAGGTCGATTTTTTAAAATTCAAAATGGCGGATCAAATATGGCGGACGATAAAATCAAAATCAACCTCGAAAATTTTCACTCTGGGATTCTTGGGGTCGCCGATTTGAAATTTTTATACGTGTAATAAGTGATCGCAAAAACCCCCGAGTGAAAACTTTCAATTTTGATTTTTAATTTTTATCAGCCGCTGATACTCGCTGATAACTCGCTAAACGCGGGGCCAACGAAAGTCACGCGTAAGCTTTTTTGGTCGCCGTCGGTTCACTTTTTAATAAAATTTGATTTTAATGTCATGTTAAATCCGCCATTTTGAATTTAAAATTTGTATCCATGATTTAAAAAAATAAAAATTATTGCATATGGAGAAAATAAAGTTTTCTTACTATACAAAACTTTGGAAATTAATATAAATAATTATATTATTTATTTCAGATACGAATTATGAACTCATGTACGCAGTCTTGTTTTTGAAAAATCAAGAAAATTAAATTAAAGTGTTAATTTAGAAAAATTCATAACAAATGAAAAGCTGTTTTATATAAATGAAGTGAAATAGAAAATTTTTAAGAAAAATTTGTTTCCCGGAAAAAAAAGAATAAAATGTCGGTAGTTAAAAGTATTGAGGGACTAACAGCTAAAAATCAATTACTCCTACTCTCGGCGGTGAAAAGCGGTGATTCAACACTATTACATCATCTATTGGATAAAGGCGTTTCAGTTCATACCCAATGTCCAAAGGGCTTCACACCACTTCATTATGCAGTAATGTCACAAAATACGGTGAATATCGAACTTCTTTTAAAGAAAGGTGCCTCAATTTATTTTCCCGATCAATCCGGTAAGACGGCTCTCGATTTGGCTGTCGACAATTATTCCACATCAAAATGCGAACTAACACCAAAGAGTGCAATACTAATTCTTCTGTTGAGTTACACGCTACTTGACGAGGAGACAACATCAACGTTCACATTCCTAGCGGTTGAGAAGAATGACGAGGAACTTTTGAAATTCTTTTTGAAAAAAGACCCCGCTACTAGGATTCATTCGACATTTCAGGATAATCGTTCGTTATTGCACGTTGCCGCCGAATCAAATCATCCACAATTGATTAAAGTTCTCCTGGAGCATGGCGCCGATATTAATGCGAAGACATCTAAAGGCGAGACGGCACTTCATCTAGCGGCAGCCGCCGGTAATGTTGAGGTGGCAAAAAAATTAATCTACAGCGGACTTCCAATTGATTCAATCGATAATAATGGAAGTATTCCACTTCACTATGCAATTAGAAATAATCGAAGAAGTGTTATTTTACTGTTGACAAATTTACCAAAATCATTGACTAGTCGTCTAAATCATGGCCTTACGTCCAATCCTTCATTACTACATTACGCGGTTATTAAAAACGATGAGGAATTTTTTAATCTAGCTCTAAAAAATAGTGGCGTTGATTTAAACGCAAGAACAAAAGACGGCGAGACACCGTTACATTTTGCGATAATTTACAATCGTTTGAAATTAATTTACGAACTAGTGAAAAGAGGCGCGGACGTTAATGCTCAATCGTCGAATGGCGAGACGCCTCTACATTTCGCGGCCGCTTTAGGACAAGCGCATTCGGTTGAATTTTTATTAAAACAATCCGCTGATGTTAATGGTTTTACAACTTCGGGTTCAACACCACTTCATTACGCACTCGACAGAGACAGATGCAACGACATTGTAGGTGGTTACAACAGACCTCTTTCATTACTAGACGATTTAAAACCCCGTTTTACAATTATAAAAACCCTACTCAATAATCAAGCGGTCGCTAATTTTCGCGATCATTCCGGTAAAACACCCCTTCATTACGCTATGTCAATGAACGTATCCTCGAAAAATAACATAAAATACCGAATAGACACAATTCGCTGTCTAGTTAATCATGGCGCCGACATTAACGCTCTTTGTAAAAAAAATTTCACTCCCATGTTCTACGGCTTCGATACAATGGACGAGAAAATGTTATGGTGGCTTATAAGAAGAGGCGCGAACGTCACTAACAATCACAACAATATCGATTCATTCCTTTCCAAAGCGATAAAATTCAAAAATATCAAAATGATCGACGTACTATTGGAAGCCGGTTGCAAAGTTAACGCCAGAAATATATTCGAAGCATCATTCGTGAACGAAATCGATAAGAATAATTACTTTGAAATTCTTGAGATGCTCACTAATCGAACTAATGACGTTAAAGCGGTGGTGACAAAAATTAGTCAATTCATCGATTCTGAATGGCAACTGAAAATCAATGATAAGGAGGACATCATGAATAAACTCTCCGCAATTCTCATACGAAGGGAAATGCTTGGCGAGATAATAATCAAACAAGAGGACTTTGAATTAGACACCGCGCCCGAATTAAATTTACGCCACCGTCTAAATGAATGTAGGGAACAAATTTTTAAGATGAAAAAAATTAACATCACCGATGATGGTTTAACGCTCTACAAGGTTTTTATGTCCTCAATAAATAAACTTTCCACTCATGTACAAAATCCGAAATTAAAGACCTATTTATACTCCGAACAGTTTACCCTGAATTTTCCGAATTGTTCCAACTTGTTGCAGAGTCGTTTCAAAAAGGCTCGAATTAAGAAAATTTTACTTGATTTCAGTTCTGAATCACTATTGAACTTGGTTAGTAAGGGACTTAAAGTTAAATTATCACCATCGACGGGACATCAGATTGTAAAATATTTAGGAATGGTTGATTTAACGCATTTAATGCAATTTCGATGCGCGCAAGGAACGTTGTCATGCCCGACGGCAAAAATAATTATTAAAAACTAAATTATTTCTCTATTCGTAAAACTTTCGGATTGAAGTCGTGTCGAAACTACAAGAATAAATTTGAAATTTTAAGATATAATTTTTACTCTTATGAAAAAAAAGTAAAGAACAAATTCCTCAAAAAAAGTATTTTTCAACCAAATTTATATTAAGTTCTAAATTATCAAAAAACTATGAAATGTACATAATTGGAAAGTATTTAAAATATAAATGATTATTAATTGAACCGCCGGCGACCAAAAGGTACGCAAGGTTTTCGCGTATGCGCTTTTGGTCGTAGGCGGTTCAATTACAAAATTTTATTTAAGCATCAAGGACATAATATTAGAATAAGAAAAATAATTCTTGTATTTATAAAATTGATTTTATAAATATAATATGGATTTTATAAATAGACAAAAGAGTTTGTCAAATAGAAACTAAAATTGTGGGACATTTCAAAATATTTTTTCTTTAAGACACTTTTGTGAAGTTATTTTTATAAAAAAATTACATACATGAGATTATATATATATATTAAGATTGTTATTCAGTGGTCACGTGTTTGCTTTATTATTATAAACACTTGACCACTGAATTGATCTTAAATTCTTGACAGAACTAATGTAGATATAATAACAAATTTTTATTTCACGGAATGATGAACATGAGAAAAAATTGTAAATAATTTACAATGTTAAAATTGTTTATAGATATATTAATAGTGTATGATAAGAATAAATGAATCTTTCATATAAAAACCAATTTATTGCGAAAAAAAACAAAATTGTTTTAATTGTAAAAACCTTTTCCCGAAAAAAAACATTTTTCAAAAATTTTTCAAAATTCTGATCAAAATGCAAATTTGAATTAAAATTAAATGAAAGTTTGTTACTCGAGAGTCTCTGGGGACAAATTTTTATTCAAAGTCAGTTTTTCAAAATTCAAAATGGCGAATCCAATATGGCTGACAGTTTTTTTTAAATTTAATTATAAAAAATTTAATTTTTTTATTTAAATATTTGAAGTCTCTGTAACGTCATCGTAACATATTTTCAATAACCAATAATATGTAGAATAATAATTAATAATAATGGTAGTAATAATAATAAAATTAACAACAAATAATTGTTATTAACATACTATTAATTACTGATTACATACATATTAATTACTTATTTTCCGGAAACTTCCATTTTTTCCTGTATAAAGTCAGTTTTTAAAAATCCAAAATGGCGGATTCAATATGGAGGAAGATTTTTATAAAAATCCATCGGATTCGTGACGAAAAAATATAAAATATTTTATAAATTGCAAAAAGTCGTAAGAACAGTGGCACTCTTAGTCAAATAGGTTAAAATGTTTATAAACGAAAAAATACATTTATTTATAGTGTAATCAATTCAAGAAAATCTGCAAAATAATCTAGTAAAAAAATTAACATTGAAATTTGACATTAAGAAGATAAAAGTTTTGTCGTCTCATCAAAGGCGTGCATCACTACTTATCACTGATAAAAGATAAAGAATCCATTTTAGATTATACATCACTGATAATCAAGCATTTTGGAAGTTTTTTTTTAATTTTTTGCTTTGGGTATTTTAAAATTTTTAATTTTCCGTATATAATTAGCTAAGAGTTGCATGATAGTCATGCTTAAAACCGAAACTTACATTAACTTGCGGTATATACCAATTGCAATTTGTGTTTTGTTACCCACTACATTTGTGATTACGTAAGTAAACTATATTCCTTGAAATCATTAGCTTTCCATTGATTCCAAAAAGAATAAAAATTAAACCCGATTTTTGAATAACTAAATAAAATAGTGCGAGCGGGTGTACGAAGTGTCGATCGCAATCAGAAAATAATAAAAATTACGATAATACAATTATTGGAAAATAAAAATGAAAATTATTTTTTTAGATTAGCAATTGCACTACGCTTGGAACATGTAGATGGCATTCCGTATATTTCGGATACGGGGACCTATGTTCCCGAAAGCTGTATTTTTGGGCAATGTCTTAATATTATTGCAGGTTTCAGTGAGTATTAATAAAATTAATAATATAATTATATAATATATATTTAATATATATTTTAGAATTTATAATATATATTTAATATATATTTTATAATTTTATAATTAATAAAATTAATGAAATGATTATGAAAGAAACGCTAAAGTAATAAATTTCTTTGCAGTGTGCTTTTTAACATTTGTAAGGTACTCACAAATTAAGGAACACGCTGCAGTGTACAAGTTCAGTAATTCATTATTAATATGGAACATTCTTGGTCTTATTTTGGGCATAGCTTCTAGTTTTGGTATGTCTTTAGTTGCCAATTTTCAAGAGACTAATGTTCTCAGTGTTCATATAATTGGAGCTATATTATGCTTTGGAGGGGCCACTGTTTATTTTTGGATACAAGTAAGTTTTTCAAAATTTTTTTCTACACTTAAAGGATCTTTTTGGTCTCTAGCAGACTTTCGATAAAACTCAATTTTCTCTATAAAATTTTAGACAATCTGTACCTATTATTTAGTACCAACGATTTGCTCTATGAGGCTAGTAGTTATTAGAGTGATTATATCAATCTTCTGCACTATTTTTTTCATCTCCGGAATGGTAACAGCAAGTTTATCAAAAAAATCTTATCAAGGTATAACAAATTTTTACAGAAAAATTGATTTAAATTAATTTGAAAATTTCGTTATTTTAAATAAAAATTTTAAGTTATCTATTTGAACAAAAAAAAATCATGAATTAAACATTTTTTTCTAAATGAACGTAAATGGACCATAAATTAAAAGTAATTAAATGCTTGAAAGAATATTCATTTAAAAAATTATAATTTATAATTTAGGTACTAATCCCCGAAAATGGAAACAAGAAGACGGTGGATGGGAATATCACGTAATAAGTGTATGTTCCGAATGGATTGCAGCTTTAGTTATGTCACTTTACATTCTTACATTTGCCAAAGACCTCAATAATTGTCGGCTACATTCCACAAAGGTTAATAATGATTCTTTTTACAATTATACCCCGGCAAGAAGGGATAATTTAAAATGGAAAAGAGATTTTTTATCCAATCCAATATATCATTTTTGAAAAAACTCTATTTAAGTCAAAAAAAACTTATCGGGCATTTTCCCCCAAAAATTCTGTTATTAAAAAAGAAATTATAAAACAAATAGAAACTAATTGAATATTAAATAATGAATTGAACGAAATTTTTTCATTTTTGCAATAATTTCAGATTGTTTTTCATTCACCATGCCGTCGAAAACTTCAAGTACATAACGAAATGCAAAACACGGAAAATTATTCAAGTAAGATAGTTGTAAATAATTTTTAAAAAAAATAAGATTTTCAATATTTAGAATTTAGAAAATAAATAAATGTTAACATTCAAAGTGATGGATAAAAAAATACATACCTCTTTTTTTAAGATGTAAACAAAATCAAATTTACACTTAACATTCGGTAATTTTTGTCTTCAATTCAATTAACTGTTTTTATTTTTAAATAAAAATTTCAAAAATTTTCATTATTTTTGATTTTTTAGCCTTTTCCGAAACGAAAAATCCCCGGATTTTATCGTTTAAAATAAGGAATCTAAAATAAGGAAAAGGTAAGTTTTAGAACTTTAATTTAAATCATATTTATATTTCAATAAAAAACGGCAAAATTGACGAACATTTGCATACTTACAATAACAAACCGCATAGAATACTAATTCATCTTCTCCACACTTATTAAGTTCATTCACATGATCATTTATCACACAACACTTAATTACAGAATCAACAAACAAAAGTACTCAAAAGGCCCTTTCTTGTTAGTTCAATTTATCAAGAATAAAAAATTACTTTTTTAATTTTAAAAATCGACCAATTTGCTCACTTGTTTAAAACTTCAAAGAAAAATTAAAATCTTCTAAACGAAGTTTAATTAAACTTATCAGAAGTTAATACAGAAGTTAATAATCGAAATGAGGTGTAAAATTAACTTGTTTACCAATTGGGAAAAGTGAACTTAATGTAATTTTTTTTTTTTTTTGAATTGATTCTGAAATTGGAATGTTCCTTATATTGAAATATCGTTTCTGATAAAACAATCCTTTTTTTATATTTATTTATCTTTTCGTTGTACAGTGAGACTGTCGTGTATTGTCTTAACAACAGCTTCAATTGTTTCTGGAATAATAACACCATTAACGTCAATGAAATTTGCTACCGATCTTTCAGTAGAACTTTTGTATGTATTGTTGCCACTTTTCACGCTAAACACAAGATTATATTTGTCATTATATTTTTTCATATAAGAACTCGCTTCCCAAGTTATGTCAGGATCGAATCCCGCGGGATCTCTAAAAGAATAATAAAAAATTTAGTCTTCGTTAATATTAAAATTTGAGGATTTTATTTATTTAAAACCTTTATTTATTAACTAGATCCACGAAATTTTTTTTGTGGATCTACAAAAAAATTTTTTTTTTGTATAATCATAAAATTTGAAAAAAAATTATTCTATTTTGAAATAATTTTTTTCTATATAGAAATTTTAATTAGTTCTTGTCAAAAATTATATTCCTGGCACGAAAAGGAATTTTTTTATTGAAAAATATTTTCGAAATTAATTAATAATTTTTTTAAATTAAGTTGAGGTTATGTAGCATAGTTACTATACTGTAATATAATAACTGTTTACTTTTTGTTCTTTTTCATTCTGTCATGTTATATGTTGTAAATTTGCAGTTTTCTAAAATATGTCTGAAGAGGTCTGTCGTCAATGGACGAAAAGCTTAACATTTAAAATTAAATAAATGTGGATTCTTCCCAAAAACAACCTTTAAAATCTTTAAATTTTTTAAAATGTTGTTAACTTTATTATCACATTTTAATTTAATATTTTAAAATTTCAGTTTCTAACTCCAAATATTAAACTCCAACTTTTGGCTAAATTTTAATTCCTTCGACATGTAATGTAAAACTTTTTATTTATTTTATTTATTTATTTTATTTATTTTATTTATTTTATTTATTTTATTTATTTTATTTATTTTATTTATTTTATTTATTTTATTTATTTTATTTGTCATCATAAATAAAATAAAAAATTCGTCAGAATGTAAAATGATTACACCCACACATTGGAGTGTAAGGGAAAGAAAAAAATAAATTTTATGTTATAATTACCTTTGAATAGCGACAACGAAAATTCCCTTTTCCTTATAAGTTATGTAAAGAGTTAAAATTCCCATTAAAACAAAGTACGTTGAAACACAAGCTACTAAAACAGGCTTAGACGTTGGGAATGGATAGAAAAAGTCCCATAATAATGCTACAATGGCAACACTAACAGCAAGACCGCATAACGCTAATCTTCCATCCATTAATGAAAAATTTTCTATATAATTGTACTTTCTAATAAGGACTTCTTTCACTGCATCGTCGAGGGCATTTTTCACTGCCGAGCCATCCCATTTATCGATCTTAACTTCCTGCAATAGATAAATAAATTTAATTTCATTTTTTTGGAAAAAACCTACTAACCGTATTTTTTGTAAGGTGCTTATTTGCTTATATAATTTAAGTGAATTTCGACCTTGCGGAAAATTCGGTTACAAGGTTCTTACGTTGGATGGCATATTTTAATATATTTTTATTACTATTATATTTATAATATAATATTATATAATATAATGAAACATTAGAACAAAAATATAAAATATTTTAAATATGTATAAAATCTGTAAAAAAAATTTGTATTAATGAATAAATTGGTATAAAGTTAAGAACTTATTTTAATAAAACAAATGAATATTTTATCAATTTTGTGATATTTTTATTGAAAACCGTATTTTTTTCTATAATTTCCAATTTTTTATTTGTAAAGAACACGTATGTTTAAAAATTGTTCTTATTTTTCAAAACAGCTGGCATAGATTTCCTAATGTAAACCATCTGTGAAACTTGAAAAACTTTATAATAATTCTATTGAAATATGTTTCATTTTTAATATTTTCGATTGTTAAGGGAAAAATTGGCAGTTTATATTTACATAAACTATGATACATATTGTGTATTTAGAAACCTAACCCTACTTTTGTCGTTGATTGTTTAGATAGAGAAATTTCGTGCATTGAGAGAATGGAAAGAAAATATAATTGAATAATTCACTAACCGGCTTTTTATTATCCGCTGATTCTTTTCCGCCTGCCATTTTTTTAATACAATAATTGGAAAATTGTGTAATTCACAACTGTACATGCGAGACACGTCAAAGCTTTTTCCAGTTCATCTATACATTAGAAATCCCTACATATATTTTTATTTGTCAGGCAGGGTTGGATTGTGAATGATGCTCACGTGTCTCTTTTTTAATGGTCTTTTCGACAGGGAAATGATGAACCTTTAAAATGCGACACTCGGACACTCGGGTTTTTTTTAAGGTCTGTGCGCAATGATGTGATGAACCTCCGAAATGCGACACTCAGGTTTATTTAAGGACTGTGCACAATGATTGTGTGTAAAAATTAAAATAAAGGGACGATCACACGACTTTTGGAAAAACTATCCAAAGCTATTTTTGTCTTTCTCTTTCCAATGAAAAAATAATTACGTTCCGACATTGAACACTTTTGTGAACCTACCTTTAACTGTCACACTTCAGACGTCGAACTGTATTGTCAATGGAAAAAATTCAATAGTCCACAAGTCCATCTATTAATTTCCACATAATATGCGGTATTTGATTCATTGATGTTGTGACGTGTAATATTTTTTTTAATAAAAAAAGAAGTTAATTTAATCGTGAATCAATAGTATAGATAAAGAAAACCCTAGTAACTAATAGTTTAGGTACGTATTACTTTAAATTTATTCCATTGCTTTTGTTCTTTATCAATAAAAACAACAAATTTCAATGTTATTTCGAGGTTAGGTTTCGATAACTATTTCAATATTAAAGATTTTTTGACAATTTCCCATATAATTTGTGTATCAAAAATACTTTAAAATTACACAACTCAAAATTATTTAAAAATACAAATATGACATTATTCTAAAATTAAATTTTATTTAAACCAGACAAGAGGGAATGAAATGAACTTGTTTGCTATTTTTGTTGACTTATTTTAATTCTTAATATTTGTGGTATTATTTTATCAAGTTAGGAATATTTTCTAAAGTTAATTTCCTCTGAATTATAAATTAAATGTTTTTAATTTTCTTCATTCTTCGTAAAATGAAAAAGGTACTATATATAGATATATACATATATGTATTCATTTCTTGATAAATTCTTCATTTGAAATTGTAAAATTATACTTGTTTCATTTTCCCCAAATTCAGACTTTAAAAATAATTTTTAGCACCTATGTATTTATTTAGTTTGAAAATCTGTTTTTATTCTACTTTACATATTCGTTTATAAATATTTTGAAACAAAATTTATCTTTCGATAATCAATAATATTGCGTAATATCGAATTATAAAATTGTTACAATTTTTTGAAATTTTTTTATATTTATATAAAAAATTCATTTTCTTAACCTATTAGTAAAAATTTTTTTTCTGAATTTTTTTTTTGAAATAAATACATTTGAATAATAATAGTTAATAAATAAAAAATAATGTCGTAAATGTAAAAACAATAATTCTAACTTTAATTTTCTACTTTACTTATTTCTGAAATGAATATTGTCAATTTATTATATTCAATCATCATTGAGTGTACAACCTACTTTTTGTCAAGGTCACATGCTTAATTTCATTTCCATATACATTTCGTTCAATGTTTACTAATGTCATAATAATCTGTGTGAATAATGACTCATCATTTATTACATTTCGAAAAAATTTCTATTTTATTAATTTTTTTTTAAATTTTTTATTCACTTATCATTTCAAGTTTGATGGTCGATTAACAGATAAATAAATAGTTTAAAATAAATGTCCTGGATTAACAATCATTAGTTCTATAATGAAAGAATAGACCTTTTTATTTAAGACCGGAAGTTGGAGCTACGCCATGACAGATGGCGTGATTTCAAAAAATTCGAGCAGCTTTGAGTCAGAATGTATATTTTTTTGCTAATAAAAAACAATTCAAATAAAAAAACTCGATGAAAATGAGATTCCAGGAGCAAAATTAATGTTTGAACAAGTAGAGAAAAATACTGTCTGTCAATTAAAAAGATGGTTAAAATTCCGAAGTCAGTGTTTTTTTATGTTACGTTTGTAACGGTTCGTAACTGTCTTTAATCCTTATGGGGAGGAAGTTTTGATCAGGATAACCCAGGGTGAAGAATGACACGGTTGATTAATGAAAATAATATTGTTTTTATTAAATAATCTTCTTGGCGACGATCCTGGTACTTATAAGAATAAACAGAATAATAGTTTTGGTGAATCACTTGATTAGAGTTCGTGTCACAGGTGACCTAGGTTTAGACCATTGCACGTTATTGAACATAACCTCACAAATTTGCAATTTAATTAAGTTTTGAAACATAAATCGTCGTGTCTTTGACAAATATTAATGAAATCACTTAATATTTGGTGTGCACACTTATTAGGATATATAGAAGACTACAAAATGAAAAAAAAAATTAAAAAATCATAAAAATTTTTCAAATAAATATTACTTTTTCTTAAAAAAGACATTTTGCGAGAAAAGGTCGAAAAATATCGAAACAGAAAATGAACATTGACAATGTAAAAAGTGAATAGAAGGGCGAACTCACATTTTGAAATGGAATTTAGTACCTTAAAAACTCACATATGCCTAAGAGATGGAGCTGCAGTCGCTATTAATACATTTAATATCATTCGAGTTGCAATTTTAATTAATTTAAATTCTTTCGTAATTAATAATTTAAATTAAGAAACTAAATACAAATTAAAATAATTTTTAAAAAAATTATATAAAACAGTACAAATTTTTCAAATAACTAAATGAATAAAATTAAAACATTTTTCAAATAATTAAATCAAAAATAATTTAAAAAGGCAATAAAGTATCTATTATTATCCTTGGGGAATAAAGTACTGATTATTACCCTAGGGCAATAATGGTCACTTTATTGACCAGCTGGGCTACATGTATATATATATATATATATATATATATATATATATATTGTACTATAAAATAATAATTTAAATATTTATAAGATTAATATTCTCCATTATTTTCACTCTTTTAGATTTTTATTTTAAGAAGAAATCGCTTACAATGATGCACGATGAAGATTTGGACGGTCCATCCAGGATGAATGTCATTAGTCAAACGATGTTTCGAATGTCACAGGTTGATTATTTTATTATTGCTGTCTTAAAATAATAAACTTGAGATTTTTTTTTCAAATTAAAGAAGTGAAAAAAAAAATATTTAGTTAAATATTTTTAGAAGATTAGTTATTAAAAATATTGATTCGGATAGAGAAGAGATATAGTAGATAAGAGTAGATTACATTTTGAAAGTTAAGATATACAAAGAGTAAAAAATTTCTAGTATATGAAGATAATGCGTGTAGTATCTTAAAGTAAAGGAGACTTACGGGAGTAGTTTTTTTAACTTCAACAATTTTCCTTTAAAGTCCCGTGAGAGTTTTTAAACTTCTAATAGTGATAAACGATCAACAAATTGTTATATATCAGTTTTACCCTCGTGCGCCTACTAACTTTATTACTCTATCAGATCCGAGAAATTGTCTAAACTTTAAGAATTAGGTGACTAATGAAGGTTCGAATAGTAATCCCACTAATTTTGATCAAATATTTGAAAACGAATGATAATTATGATTCGAAAAATATGAACATAAAAATTCATTTTCAAAATTTGATTACAAATTTTGAAATCAAAATCAAATTTTGAAAATGTTCATATTTTTCTGTTTTACGGAGTAGGATGTACTATTTTATATTTATTTATTTGCGCAAAATAAACTTGTAGTTAAATTACTTTAAAAGCACTTAGAGGACGTTTAGTATAATGTATTTTTCATGTTAGTGATTTCTTCACCAATTTTTCAATGGTGAAGAAATTACAAGAAGTGAAACGTTAGCAATTTAGAATAGAAAATATTATGCACGAATGGGCACAGCTCGTATGGTTCTTGTAAGTAAATAAATATAATTGAGTAGTTTTATTAAACATTCTATCCCCTACTTTAAAATTATATTTTATAAACAAAGTACTTAGATTGATGTCTTTTTCTTTGACTTTACTCTTGAAACTTAAAAACTTTAAAAAGTTCAACTCTTTTTAACTTTAAAATTCAATCCTGTGGAGAAGAAAATAAATTTTATAATTTAAATAAAATTTAAAATTAAAAAAATGAAAATTTAAAGCTTCTTAAAAAATATTAAAATTTAATTATAAAAAAATTAAGTGGGTGCTGATAATAATTATATATAATAATTTTTACAGATCTATCAAAGTTGGCAAGACCGTTGTGCTCCACATGTTATATGGAGATGGGGTTTCGCCGTAGCTTTAGTTTTAATATTTTTAATTCGCATTCTTCTAGTACAGGTAAGTTATGATAATTTTAAAAAATATACATTGAGCAAAGAAGAAAGAAGCTAATCTTTTTCATTTGCAGGGATGGTATATTATTACCTATGGTTTGGGCATTTACCACCTTAATTTATTTATTGCATTTCTCACACCAAAAATAGATCCAGCATTAGATTTCGACGGTACGTAATTTTTTACTTCTTATTTAATTGGTAATTTTTAATTTTCTGTTTTTATTTTTGTTTAATTTATTGATAGTTTTTTCCCTTAGTTTTCTGTTTTTATTTTTGTTGTTTTATTTATAAATAAACAAAATAAACTATGACTCAGAATATATAACATTTTTTTTAAAAATCAGATACATACTCTGAAATACAAATTTGATTGTGAAGCTAATTAATAGGGTCCAATGATAGTGACCATCATTCTTCCTCTCTTCTTTCTTCCATTTCATGACCAAATGAGTCAGCATTTAAGTTTAGTATTCAGAAATAATTATATTTAATTCTTCCTCCTGCGATAAGAATAAGGTCCAATGTTGGACATTTGATTCTTGAGTATAATTAAGGAGGGTCTTTTTACACGCACTATGATTGAAGTCCAATGTGCGGAAAGCCCAATTCTTCCTGTTCCCCTAATCTTCTCACTGTCAATAATGTAAATAGAGTTTTGCTGACTGAGCAATTAGACATTAAATCTCCCATGAATGAAGGAAATAATAAAAAGAAATTGCTTCCAATAAAAGATAAAAAAAAACGACTACTTCTGATGAATCCATTTTCTTGACTTCACTTCTTGAAGGTAGTTTAAATCTTTTTATACAAAACGCTGTACGGCGAGTGGGTGAAAACCCATGTATTTTTTGAAAACCATTGTTATCCGAACACTTGTTTGACTCATCCCTCTGAATTCATTAAATTGCCTATTGGGGTCCTGTTCTAGTTTCTAATACACTGAATTTATAATTCAGAAACTATTACAATCTGTTATTATTCAACTAAACTATTAGTTCAAACAATTAGAATCAATAATATATGAATAATAATAATAATAATAATAATAATAATAATAATAATAATAATAATAATAATAATAATAATAATAATAATAATAATAATAATATTTTTTTGTTATTACAATTTATTATTGTTTGTTAATCATTGTTTGTTATTGCAATTTATTATTGTTTGTTAATCATTGTTTGCTATTACAATTTCATTGATTATAAAAAGTTACAAATTGTTATCTGCAAAGATAATTTACTACAATATAACATGTATATATACAAACAGCATGTTGGAGAACAATTATGAAGTATAAGATTTTTTTATAATATAATTGCTTAAAAAAATTTTCTTTTCAATAAAAATTAAAAAATTATATAAAAAATACATTATTCATGTTATGTTAATTTTTACGTTAAGTGTCAAAATTTACGAAGTCAACGCATATAAGCATGATAAAGTTCTTTACAAAAAAATTTAAAAAATATAAAAAAATGAGCATTTAATAAAAGTTTATGGTTATGTGTATGATAATTTTATTAAAAAACACTTAAATTTTGCTATAATAATAAATACCTGCTTAAGACATATAATATTGTTTATTTAAGAAAAAAATGTTAAAAATTGTGCTCATTATTTATAATTTATAATATTTTATTTTTCCTTTTTTGTTAAAATGTTAAATTAAAAAATTTTTTAAAAATAATTTTTGGTTAAGAGTACATGTTAAACATGTTTTAAAAAAAAGTCACAGAAAACGTGTGTTTATGATGGATGACCGTGAAATAAAAATTAAAGGACAGGGTTTAAATAGAAATATTCATCATGCATTATGAATGCCATGAATCTTATATATAAAGCTCATTCTTTTACAAATTATTAAGAAAATTAAAATAAATAAATAGTTGAAATATACAAATTAATATTAGAGAATATGCAAAGAACATAAAACGTTCTTCTGTATATCGAAAGGAGTGCAATTTCACATGTTCAAGAAGATATTAGATTTAAATATAAATTGCTTAAATTTTCTGTATCAGTTTTTAGATTAATAGAATTTTTATTTTAAATGATATAAAACATTTCAAGAATTTCTCTTTTGTTGTAATTACTTTCAGCTTGTAGAATCTTAACGCTATCCGATGAAAAGTTAAAATTGTGATTATTTACTGTGGAGTGTTTGCAAAGAGCACTTAGTTTACATTTGTTAGTCTCCTGATATTTATGTTCATAATAATAATAATAATAATAATAATAATAATAATAATAATAATAATAATAATTTTTTGTTATTACAATTTATTATTTTTTATTAATTTATTGTTTGTTACAATTATTCTTGTTATTTGTTATTATTTGTCGCACTTTCGTTCAAAGTTTCGTTTTTTTTAAAAAATAAAATCGGAAGTTCGAAGAGAAAGAGCGACAAAAGAAATTTTTATATGAAGAAGAAAACACTATTTTTTAGAAACGAAATTTGAAATAAAAAAATAAATAAATAAAAATGAATTATAAGAAAAAAAGTAGGAATTAGAAACGAAAATTGAATTGAAAAGTATTTTTCAAAGAATCAGAAAAAGATATTACTACAAAAAAGAAAAAGATTTGATAAAAATAAATAAATTCTTTTGATAAGAAGTTGAAAAGAATGACACAAAAGAGAACAATAATCACATTATTATCAAAGATTTTTAAAAAAAAACTAAAAGTATACAGAAATATAGCTAAGTTTACGTGTAGCCAGAACAAATGAAAGAAAATTAAAATTTTTTGAAAATAGTAAATTAGAATTTAAATTATATAATTTTATATATTTATTATTATATTTATTTTATTATTTATTTTTTTTTTATATTTTATATTTAGTAATCAAGAAAGTAATAATTTTATATGAAAAAATTTATGCTTTTTTGTATTATAATGGAATAAATAATAGAAATTAAAAATTTTTAAATTATTAAAATTTCTTTTTATAAATTTAATAGTTTTTTTTAGGACTGCGGGGATGTATTTTGATAAATAAATAATTAATAAATAATAAATAAATAAATAATTTGTAGTGAATTATCTCCTTATTTGAAATCAATTCTTAGTAAATGTCGAATCGTTTGGATTATAAAATTTAATAATTATTACAGATTCAGATGGTCCAGAGTTACCAACGAAATCGAACGAGGAATTTAGGCCCTTTATACGACGATTACCAGAATTTAAATTTTGGCATGCGGTATCAGTTTCAACAATTAGTGCAATTTTTTTAACCTTCTTCGATATGTTTAATATTCCAGTATTTTGGCCCATTCTTGTTATGTATTTTATTACACTCTTCTGCATTACCATGAAACGACAAATCAAGGTAAGATTTTTTATCTTGTTTAACAAAAATAACAAACATTTATTTATATTTTTTTAACACTTTTATTTACCATTATTAACTTTCCTTATTTTATGTAAAATTAAATTACAAATAGATTTGAAAATTCTCAAAAAGAACATTTTGAAAAATTAATAATAATTGATTTAGAGAAAAATTTTTGTTTGAAAATTCTAGAAAATATTAATTGAATTAAAATGATGAAAATAATTTTCAAGAAGTAACAATGTAGTTATTTTTTATTTATTTATTCTCATATTTCATTTAATTATATTATTTATTTTAATAAGTATTTGTCTATTTTATTAAATTTATATTATTTGGAATTATAATAATAGATGTAAATGTTTTTTGGATTATTTAAATAGTATATGATGTTTTTTGTTTTAAATATAATCCACTTATTTATTTCTCTTTTTTTAAAAATACATTAGCTTTCGCCCGACAACGTTGGGCCTCTTCAGATGAGAATTCTAGAGAATGCATATAAATTCATATAGAAAGATATAAAGAATTAATTTTTCAAATAAAAAATATAATAAAAAAATATTCTATTTTATGAAGAATGAATAATTAGATTTATGAAAAAATTATAACATAACCTCAAAACTTACCGAAGTGGATTAATTTACCGATTTGGAATTATAATTAAAATTCTTTCTATTTTCATTTTTATTTATTTTATTTTAATATTAAATATTTTAATGTTTATTTCTTGTTTACTTTTGAATAATTATTACTTTTTATTCACAATCTTATTTATTTCTAATTTCTCTATTTATTTTCATATTATTATATATTTATACATTTTTATTAGCAACTATTTTATTTTTTATTTTTATTATTTCTTTTTAACTTCTTAACTGTTAAGTTTAAAAAGTTTTAAAGTTTTCCAGATTTTTTATGTTTTTTTTTAAGTTTTCCAACTCTGTTAATGTGACATTTTATTTTCGAAAATCAGTATAATAAGGATTTTATTGGGATATATAAGTAAAAATTAAATATCAGTTTTCTAGTACATTTAAAATTTCTTTTTATCATTATTGTAGTTCTTTCCTTTTATTTAAAAAACGTTTATTAAAAAGTTTTTATTTCTTCAAATATTTGTTCTTATACATAAAACATTCTTAAAACTATTATTATTACTATTATAGATTTTCGACATTTTGCGTGAATAATAAAATAATCTGGAAATAAATAAATTTATTTTTCTTATTAATTTCACATAAATATTTATATCGTAAAAGTGTAACAAAATTATTTTTACATTTTTTTTGAAATTATTGTATATATATATTTTTTTTTTCTTATAAAATATTTGAAATAATTTGGTTTTTTTTTATTTTTACAGCACATGTTGAAGTATCGATACTTGCCATTTACACATGGAAAACCAAGATATCAAAATCACGAGGATACAACAAGATTGATGAAATGAGATTTTTTGTTCTGTGAGCATAGGATTTTTTTATTTCTCAATTTCAAAATGTGTAAATGTTTGCGAAAGACTATAATATTAATTAATTCATTGTCCAGTTTTAGTAATTTTTTTTTTTGTTTCTGTCGACGAAGAATGTTCAGTGTGATAGTAAATAAGTGAAAATGAGAGAAAGAAAGAAAGAAAGAAAGAATGAGAGTTAGAAATATGAAAAAAAGAAAAGAATGTTTTATTTTGATTTTGGAATGAGACAATTTTCTTTTGAATTCTTTTTTTTTGTGTAAAACTGAATTGTCTTAATATATTTGTATAATAAAACTTGTACAAAGTATCGTTAGGTTTTTGACACACTTGAACGTGGACACGATAACAATATTTGCATCATGGAATATAATTGTTAATTGTTCGATTACCATTTAAAAAATCAAAGATGCTGTGTTTCATCGAGATTTAGAAAAGAGAAAAAAAAATCATCCTTCCTTTAAAAAAAATCTGCCATTCAATATAGAAAACATTTGATTTAAACTTGGATTTTTTTTTCTCCCCGAGAAAATTTGAAATTCCTCGGTTTTTCTTAATGAAAAAAAATGTTCATACTGTTAAAAAAAAATTTTCGAAAAGTGCTTTTCATTCAATTATATGAAAAAGAAAAGATTGTTTTCTTAAGAAAATAGTTTCTAGACTTTTAATTTTTAATATTAAGAATATTGTTTTTAAAAGCTAAACATTTGACTTTTTTTCATTAATGAAAATTCGTTAATGAAAAAAAAAAATTAACACGTTTAGCTTTTTTTTAAAAAAAAAAGCTAAACGTATGACTTTTTTTTCAATAATGAAAATTCGTTAATGAAAAAAAAAAAATTAACACGTTTAGCTTTTTTTTAAAAAAAAAAGCTAAACGTATGACTTTTTTTTCAATAATGAATTTTCATTAATGAAAAAAAGTCACTTTAAGAAAAAGCTAAACGTGTTAATTTTTTTTTTTTTTTATTAATGAATTTCCATTAATGAAATAAAGTCACACGTTTAGCTTTTAAAAACAATATTCTTAAATGTGTGACTTGCTTTTTTTTTTAAAAAAATAATGATGGTTCGATAAAAAAGTCAGATGACATCGATATGTTGTAGCCCGAGTTGCGCCTTCCAGATTTTATTTCGAAGCAGGACTTTGAAGGTGTATATAATTCATACATTAAATTTTGTGTAAAGAAAAGAAAATGAAAACAAAAAGCTGGAAATGAAAATTTTACTCCTCGGTGATGATTTTACTGGACTTATCGAGAAATGCAGTCGTTGAATTTGTCCCAATAACTGTTGTCGTTGTCGTTTCGCTCACAGTAGATTCCCTTTTTCTATACGGATCTGTTGGCTGACAATACAGCCTGAAACAAATCCTTTTTCAATTTATAAATATGAAAACATGTATTTAAGCCATCGCACGGATTTTAATTGCTTAAAAAAAATTTTTTTCTACTTAGTCTTAATTTTTAGTTATAAATAAAAAATTGTCATTCATATAAAAATAAAAAAAGTATTCCCTACAAGAACAATGTTTAACATTTATAATTCAATGTTTAGAAAAATTTTAGTCGAATTTCATTTTCTTTTTTAAAGCAATTAAATTTCTCTTCGATGGCTTGAAAAAAATTTTTTTTTTGAAAAGATTCAAAGATTGTAAACAAAATATTAATATGGCCCCCGTGCAATTGATCGGCAGAACTTGTAATATATATAAAGTCACTGTAAAACGGTTTGACAAAAAAACAAAAAAAAAAGAGGAAGAAAAATGTTTTGTGAAACTTTGGTAGATCTGTTGTAAACGATTTTACTAATATCTTTATAGAGAATTTCATATATAAATTTAAAAAAAAATAATTTTACAGTAATTTAATAAATAAAAAAACAAAATAAAATTGTTATTAGTCCACAATCCAATAAATTTTTATGACTTCATCAAAAAAAAAAAAATTTCATTTTCTTTGAGTTACTTCTCTGTGAAAGAAAAATTTATAAATTTTATATTTAATTAATTAATTCACTTAATTAAAATTTACAACATTTAAAAATTTTATATTTAATTAATTAATTAAATTAATTAAAATTGATAAATATAAACTTTATAAATTTTATAAACTTCATAAAATGTAATTATGTTATTTTAGTAAAAAGGAAGAAAATTTAATCTACTGTGGATCAGGAACTTAAGATACAAATCAAAATTATATTTTTAATAAATTTTACAATATAGATGTTAAAAATAGCAGAAAAGAAATGTTTTCGTATTTCTCTAATTTTACATCCAGAGAAAAAAAGTTGTAATAAAAAGGAATAATTAAATTAATTTAAAGGTAGAAAAAAGATTTAAATGTGTTGGAAAGTTTTATTTTTATGTGTCGTTTTATGAAAATTATACATTATTTTAAATTGTTTATTAAATTAATTTTTTTTGTTTTAGTAAAAAGTTCATTTTGATCCACATTAGATTCCGGAAACCATATTAAATTATTTACGAATATTAAAATTTATAATGAATATTCCTTTAAAATTCTTGTGTTTAAATTTTCAGTTTATCGAATTTTATAATATTTTAATAAGTAAGAATTTTAAGAAGTTTTTAATGTACGGATTTATTAATTTTTGAAATTTAACTTAAATTGTTAAATACATTATTGTGTTCACTTACTACTTTATTATAAATAAAATAAAATATTAAATATGATAATTTTATCGGATTTTTTTATTTTAAACACTATTTAAAACTGTTCACTTTTCAGTTTCTAATAAATTAATATTAATTAATTTTATTCGTGTTTGTTTATTATTTATTTCAGATTTTCTATTATTGTAAATATTATTTTAAACTTTGTTTATAAAATTTATTTTATTATTTTTTAACGTTGTTGATTTATTATTTTTTTACTTATTAATTACTATTAATAAAGCAAGAAAAACTATTTACTTATTCATAGTGTTTTACAATGTTGCATTAATAAATAAATAGTAAAGCAAATATATGTTAATTTTATTAGATTTTTGTATTTGTTTATTTGATTTTTAATTAACATTTATATTTAAACAAAATTAAAAGTTTTTCATTTCAATATTTAAATTATGATTAAAATTGTTGTATTTTGAGATATAAACGATTTTTTGGATTAATAAAAAAAAGAAGCGTTCTTTACTTAAATAATTCAGTTACTATTAATTTCATTTATTTTAATAATAATTAACTCATTTTATTTTAATCCTGAAATCTATAAAAATTTGAGTACTGTATGGAAATTCATGTCGAAATTCAAAATTTCAAGATGGCGGATCCAATATGGTGTCAAATCGATTAAAAAATGTTTTTATTATTATTAAACTTCGTAGGCATTAAATGTTTCATATACCAAATAAAAAATATTTATTTTTCTATAAATAATGGACATTTAAAATAATTTTTAAAAAAATGTTTATTTTTCTATAAATAACGGAAGGAAAATTAAAAACTAATTGTAGTTTATAATAATAACAATAATAATTTTTAATTCTATGTATCTTCATTTAAATTTGTAATCAGTGACCCAAGAAATACAGGAAGAAAGAGATTTGACGCCATGTTTGATCCGCCATCTTGGATTTTTAAATTCCGAAACACATTTCTCGAGAGTACGGAATTTTCATTAAAACTTTGTACTTTTTTTCCACTTCAAATCTAATATCAAATTTTTAAAACACAATTTTTTTTAAGATTTCAAAATTATTCATTTATATATATAAAAAGAAAATACATGAAAATATAGTTAAATAAATAATTTAATTTTTTTGTTCTGCAATGAATTTAAGGAAATATTCATCTTTTTTATATCTCAGTATTTTAATATAATTTTTAATATAAATTTAATTAATTATTTTAGCATGCCTTCGATATTTACCTTCGGTTTCTGAGTTACATCAGTTAACCGGAACCAACTATCTGTGGATCAAAATCCTAAATTTAAATGTCTATGTTCGGATGGACTATTTTATTTGCATTTGACAATTTTTTTTTGTAACTATCACAGATGTTTGTTTTGTTTTGTTTTCAAAGAACTTACCTAAATTTTCCTGTAAAATAAATTAATTTTTTTAATTAATATAAAATAAAATATAAATTTAAAGAACAAAAATAGATTTTGTTTCTTAAAACCTGATCCACATAATGGTTTTTCATTTTATGAATTTATTTTTTTTTATTAGCCTTTTTTTTAAAAAAAAGATAAAAGAGTAGAGAAAATTGAGCACAATAGGATTCCCATGAGGACTACGACCGTGGCTGCTTTTCTCATACCTTATACTTTCAGTTCTCGAACGGGGTGACCAGTTATTGTAATACCTTCGATCTGTTCCGAGATTGCGAGCAGTACTCCATCTGGCAAAATGATGTCGAACAGTATTCTGCACTTCAGTATTGAGAAAGCAATAGAATAACGCCACCGACAAACCCTGAAATAGAATTTTCAATAATACTATAAACCTTCATTGTGTTTAGAAAAAAAAACGAGGTATGTGATTTTTATTCAAAAATTTGTGATTATTTGTATATTTTTTATATTTATATAATTATTATGTTGCAATTGTTTAAAATTCATTGAAAAATCAAAAACTCCACATATAGAATTTTTTTAAAAATTATAACTTAAAAAAAACTACGAATTGTTTTAAAAATGTTGTAAGGGGATAAGAAGTTTATTATTTTTTTTTATTAGTAAAGATGATAAAGTTAGTAAGTTACCTGAGAAGATAAAAGAAAAGCTCTCGCGAATGTGAAAATATTAGCAACGTGTCCTTCCTCGGGACCTGCCAGTACTAGAACGTAAGTTACACCGAGAAGAGGTATGAGCACCAAAAGAGCTTTACTAGCCTTACGATATTGCTGCGTCTCCACATTATTTGCTGACCTCAGTTTCGTTATTAGGACCTAAAACATTTTTTTTAAAAATACTTTACAAGAAGCTCTTAAATCTCACCTTATTGAGACAAAATAACTTCATCCTTCTAGAGAAAGTTTATTAAATTCTTAAAAAAATATATAATAACTAATCGATGTCTCTAAATAATTATCCTTTCGAATTCGTATCAATTTATTCAAAGTAGAAAATTAAATAAGTAATTACGAATATTTTCCTTTTTATTATTATTAGTTAAATTAGTATTAAATATTAACTTTTGTATTTCCGAACACAATTTTTTTCTTTTGTGGAAAATTTTCGATTTTGTTTGTGAATAATAAATCTATTATTGTCAGAGATTTATGGTCCGTAGTGTGTTTGCGCAAACCTTATTTATGTCTAGAGGAGTTTTTCTAGTTGGGAGGAGTTTCTTTCATAGTCATTTCAGAGAAAATTGAATAAGTTCAACCCTAGTGAAAAGTCCCACGTAGGTACTAACATGTATACATGAAATCATATACTTTTTTTGTTACATGAATTTGAATAGAAATCCACAAAGCATATGATTTATGAAAAGGAATAAGAAACTTCATGAAACCCTTAGTAAACTTTGATATAAATTTTTCTGAAAAATAAATCTAATCTATAATCTATCTAATATAGTCAATAGTTATTAACACGATACAAACTCTTCAAACTGATTGAAAATTTGCAGTTTTTAGCATTAATTATTATTACTATTACTGTTAAGAAAGAAATTTATAAAATGAATTTATTTTTATTAATTTAAATCTATCCTTAGTAAACCCAAAATCCTCGTGTCTCATATTTTCTTTGGTATCCCACCGCTGCCACCCAGCTGTGAATCAGACCCACAAATAAAAATCTAAGAACTTGTGATATTAGGCTAACAATCAACGAAGAACCATTCTGGGAACCAATTATAACAATTACTATTATTATTACTAATTACTAAATTTGAGAAGCAATTACGTAGCATTCTGGCGGAACTAACAAAGTTGAAACAATTTAACCAACTGGACAACAAATCTCAAAAGTCAAATTCAAGAATCTTGGAGAAAATTCCTTTGGGAATGTGGAAAGAGGGAAAATGAATCTGAGAATAAGACACGACCACAACATTTACCCACGCTGCAATCTACTTCTCCGTCTAGTCGGTTAGATTCTTGATAGTAGTCTAGTAGTGATTCATAGTGGTCTGCAAGCATGTTTCAGTTTATCTATAAAATGTACAAAAACTCCGCTTTTAGTCGCACATTATTTTTCTCTTGTTGGGAACTTGATCAATTTATTTGAATTTAATAAATTTTTCAATAAATGTTTCCTTCATTTATTTTTTCACTAGTGGTCAGTTTTTGTTATATAAGGAATTTAGTCTCTTAGGAAGTGATGAAAATTTAGATTTCAGAAAAATAAAAGACGATAATCATTGGCACAAGTTTATGCCATTCATGATTAGAATTCAATAAAAATTAAATAAAAAATTCAAAAAAATAAAAATAAAGGTATAACAAATTTTGCATTAATACCTCAAGGAAAAATTATTACATAATTCCTATGGTTTTGTTCCAGGAAAGAATAGGCGTCATTTGGTAGTGTTCGTTGCAATAGTGGCATCGCAAAGCACCCTTGCCGAATTCGGCAGTCAAGAGATAGTTGTCTTGATGAGTAAGTCTAAACCAATACAGTGCCAATCATCAAACATCTGCATCGACTATATGCCAGAAATAGTACAAGAAGTTAATTTCTACATCAAATCACCTTTCCAGGTGCCACCCTTGCCCAATTCGTCAGTCAAGAGAAAGTTGTCTTGATGAGTAAGTCTAAACCAGTACAATGCCAATCATCAAACATCTTCATTGACTACAGTCCAGAAATAGCACAAGAAGATAATTTCTGCATCAAATCACCTTTCCAGGTGCCACCCTTGCCGAATTCGTAAGTCCAGAGAATAGTAATCAAAAACTCCACACAGATTTGTTTATTGTAAAAATTGTAAAACTACTTAGGAGAGTTGATAGTGGAAGAAACATTCCAAATATCGGATTGATAAATGAATCCGTCAATATGGACCATTCGAGAATTGCAAATTCAGATTTCAGATTAATTAAAACACAACATGATCGTGGCATTTTTAGTCGAGCAAAAATTTTTAGTCCGTACATTCAACCGCGGGTTTTAAGTATCTAAAGGGGAACAACACTCCAGAAATATGTTTCAAGGTATTTCGTTAAATATTTTTTTATGTAAAAATTAATATTTCCTCGTACATATGATGTTATAGCTGAAGAACGTTATTAACAATAAATATTTCTAAAAGAATAATATTGTAGGGACAATGTGGGTCCATGTCCATCTCCATAACTAGTTTTCACCTACCATAACATTATTTTTATTAATTTTATGTGTCTTCTTGCATTTCGGTCATTGATACAAAAGTGGATATCCAGAATTCCACTATTTTTGTTGTACTATTTGTAAGTTTTGGGAAATGTGAGAGGATACAAAACATGTGGTTAAAGGGTTTCGATTGATGTAGATTAGGGTCGGAATGAATTTAAGTGTAAGTTGTTACTGGATTTTCAAAAAATTTATGGCATAATTAGTATTAATTAGTATTGATTAGTATCGAATAGGAGAGGATATAGGAGTGCCTTTAAATGTTGTTATACAGATTGGTCAAAGTTAGAGGATCCTAGGTATCCAAGGAGAATTTATCAATATCATTACCTGACATACTTTTGAAATTAATTTTAACTTTTTATTTTGGAAAAACGTAGATTTAAGAATAAATATTATTATTGTTGCTAAAACATTCTGTAAAGTAATAATAAATAAAATTCTAAAGTCTTGTAGTTTTATGCTTGTGCATGAAACTTAGACTTAAGAAATATTGCCTACTAGTTCCTTTTAAGAATAGCGATTTTTATTTTCCAATAGATATAGAGCTATACTCACCCACATTATCATAAAGAGAAAAATGACGTTTATGCAAAGCACACCAATAGCAGGGGCTTGGTAGAACCAGTCGTAAGGGTGCGGTATCATCCAGGGACAATGCCTCCATAAAACCACATCCTGTTAAACGGAAAATTTACAATCAGTGAAATGAATAAAAGATCACAATCATAATTCACAATTGTTAAATTGATAACTTAAATGGTAATTTCTCTCAGCTTCAAAAAGAAATTATGACGAATATTACTCATTTTAATTTTTCTAAATCCATTATTCTAAAGTATCTTCCTAAACACTAATAAAACGATTTCTTGATAAATTAACTGATTTCTAATTCCTTGAACGTAAACATCTATTAATCTTCAGTGTTTAATTTGTATTTTGCCTTGAAAAATTTCTTAAGTAGGTATAAGTTAAATTTATGTGTTTAAACATTCGCCAGGGAATACTAACCACTTGACAAGGAAGGAATACTGAATGAGTACTGGGTGAAACTGAACTGTTGGGTGAACTGACGACTTAATTGCTATGGAGTAAAAGGCATCACTCTTGAAGTCCATAGTAATCAAGACATTGCTTCACCCAGCAGTTTAATTAAACCTTTGTTCTGCATCAATCTCCTTCAAACAGGATATTAACAACTAAATTTTGTCGTGACGAAAATTATATTAAACACAATAAAGCTGATCTGCTGATATAACTAACATAACACAAAAGATGTGGCAACGTGGTCAAATAATTCTATCTAGGCTTTCATGAGTGCTGTTAAGTTTTATGAATAAAGAGTGGTTGTGAATTGTATAAAAGTTTTGTTAAATTTCATAAATTAAATTTGTGTTAATTTTTAACAGATGAAAATGATATGTTTATATATTTAAGTTGTCTATAATATTGGGTTAACATTGAGTTGACAACCACCTTTAAAATGGTTTACCTAATTCTTATCTTCATAAATAATGAAAATAAATATGACCTGAAAGTATAGCAACTCTAGCTTCTGACTTATCCTAATAATTAACGATCACGTTTCAGGGACAATTCCGACAGATGGCGTGAGTGACAATTCACATCGCCTTAATCCATAGACTCAATAAATTTTTTTATAACAGTAAAAATGAGTAATTCGGTTCCCAGTTTCTCTAAATTTAATAATACTAAATATACCAATTCATCTTTAACAAAAAAAAAATTTGAATAGTTATTTTAAGTAGACAGACAATGACACTTTAAAGCACTACAAGTGAATAAAAAACTTTTTTCCACAATTGAATAGCGAAAACAGTACAAAAATAAAGTTAAAATAAAGTTTTCCTTTTATTCCTCTCTGTTCTGAATTGAAACCCGAAAGTTCAAAATCAACAATCGATTCCGATTAAAAGCATTCGAATTCAAACCAGTTGTTTTTATTTATTTAAATCAACTTTTTCTTTGATCTGAAACAAAACTAATGTGTATGAAATAGCAAAAAATTATCTACTTAATAATTATTAAAATCGTTTTTCAAATAAGATCCAAGTATTGATAGGGCACCCCTATAAATCTAAATTTTCTAAATAGTTTAAAGTTGTAAAGGGAACGTAAACTGATCATTTTTGATGTTTCTAAATAAAATTATGAAATCAAAACGAAATTACTAATTTTTGAAACTTGTTCTGAGGAAATAATAATAAGTTTTTAGAAATAAAATTCTTTCAAGAATCAAAGTCATCAAAAGTAACTAACATTATATGTAAATATATTTAGGAGAAGAAAAAGGTGAAAGAACTCTTTATAGCGTGTCTTTTTCACTCTCGTTAATTCAGAGCCTATATAAGTAAAGCATATTGCGTGTTAGTAAATCGATCGTTCAAAAATTCAGTTCAGAATTGAGTTCTAAGTGTATAAATGGATTTAACAGTTCAAAATCTCAATCTTGGAATATAAACTTTTGAATTCTCTATATTTACAATTATTTTCTTTTTTAATTTAATCATTATACATGTATTATATAAAATTTACAAAAGACAAAATTCTTCATTTAGAATTTAAAAATCTACTTGCTAAAATATTTGTCAAGATCTCTCACCTGATTACCCTGAGTTCCAAGACTTGGTCCTAGAGACTTGGCGATAGCCCAAACGGCCGTTACAAGAATTGGCACACCTAAAAGTATACGCAAGATATTAAAAGGCTTTTCAGTATCTATATTTGACCGCGTCTGAGAAAATGGGCCTTTTGACCAAAAAAATCGATTTTTAGATTCAGACGTTTTTACACTTTAGGGTCCTTAAGATAGAATGAAATTAGTCTCGGGTTAAACAATTTTTTTTGGTCACAAGGTCCCTTTTCTCAGACGCGATCACATATAGGAGACATATATTCTAAATTTTTTTTTCAGTAAAATAGAAACATTTATGAAAGTTATAGAATAATCAGTTAGTAAAAAAATCAGATTTCCGTTCTAGAATTAATAATAAGTGATAAAAATCGTGTCAATAGATAAACGCGGAAACATGCGTTAATTATGAGCGTATAATATGTAATTTGGGATACAGAATTATTATATTACACCTCAATCAATTGGACCTCTATTCAATGAAATTAATTATAATTGGACGGTGCTCGGGTGTATGTCGATGAAAAGCAGGTTCGCATATATGAATGACAGAAAGTTTGTGGCGTTATTTAGTTTTAGTAAAGTGATTTTGAAACTCGGAATAAATCTAAATATAACCATAATTAGGAAATATGATATTTTTAAAAATAATTGGAACTAAAAATGCTTTCTAGTTAGCAGACCCATAAATTAATTTTTTAATTTGCAATATTGCAATTGAGAATTAAAGTATAATTTTGTTATAATTTTATTATTTTTGTTTACTAAAACATTTTTATTTCATCAAAACGCGTTTGGCATAAAAGATAATATATAATATAATTTTGCAACAGAACGTAAACTTTAGTAATTAATGAAAGTAGAGATAACGTGTAAATAGAAAATAATTCTTTAAAATAAATTAGTAAACTACTAATTAATTACAATAACGTGATAACTAAACTTTTTGTACTGTTTCGAAAATTTAATTAAATCTTCTAATTTTTGTAAAATTGCAACAAAATAAATGCGTTGGCCACTATATAGTATCCACCCCGGCCCTCTATAGGTTAAATATGAACGAAATGTTTTAAAAAAAAACCATTCCATATTTATCTCAAAACGCCTAGGGGATAAAACATAAAATTGTTCGGGACATCATCAACTTTTTTCCCCCCTTTATTTTAGTAAATATTTTTGTAGGATTTCACTTTGAATTTTATGCCGCTTCATTTTGCAACTTTAATTCAAAAATATGCTGAAAAACCTTTGAATTGTTAGTGCATTTACAAACATGCAGTAAAAATTGATAACAATGACACAATTATACTGCGTTTCAGAGGATAAGGAGGAAAAACAGTATACAAACATGTCCCCTAGGGCGTATGCAATTTCGCCACTGACAAAATATTCCTATCGAAAAGCCGTGCACTAGATGTTTTTTTTATCCGAGGCGTAGTTATTAGGTAAAAAAATACAGTCATTTTTTTGGGTATAAAAAAAAATAAATGTCCAAAAAGTGAAAGTTTTACGTTTCATTTATTTTTATTGCGCAAATGTTTATAATAACGTTCGCCATTTTGAATATTGAAAAACTGACATTAGATTCGTAATCAGCGATCCCGAAAACCCCCAAGTAACAAGTTTTAAGCAAATTTGAGGAATTTTGAAAAAAATGTCCGCCATATTGGATCCGCCATTTTGAATTTTGAAAAACTGATTAAATAAATATTTCTATCAAATAAAAAATTCCTCTCGATGTATAGAAACGTTCGCATTAATCTTATAATTAAAAATTTAGAAATTCATTTCACGTTGGTTATTCGTGAAAAAAAATTTTTTTTTTAATTTTATAATCATGTTGTCTCTTTTACGAACTTTGGGGAAAAATTTTTTTTATACTCGAAATATCTGACCATTTGGAAGAGTTAAAAGTCAAATATCATTTTCAATTAGATTTGTCCACGGGTATACTTGTCAATTACTTTTCACTTTAATCTTCAAACAAAACCAATTAAATTGGTTCGTATTTTTTTTTAGAATGTATCCAGTGTCGATTTGCACAAGTGTGTAACTGTGTCAATAAATCTGCTTTATATTTGCAGTTTTCAATTAAATTTCAGCTAACGATTTTAAATTAATACTCAGTGCTGAAATTTGTCCCCTAAAATCAAATATTTATACTTTGAAAAGAAAGGTGTGAATTCACTTTTACTTTTTGTTTCTATATATATATTAGGTGTCGTAAAAGTAATTACAAACATATATGAACATACATTTAAGTTCTGATTCGATTAAATTTGGATTTTGTGACCAGATTTCAAAAATTCAAAATGGCGGATCCAATATGGCTGAAAATTTTTTAAAAATTGTTTTTACATTTTTAATTTTTTTAAATCTTAAAATATAGTTCACTTCGTATATTTCTGTTAAGGAGTAAGACTTTAGAAGAGAAGAAGTGAGCAGAAATATATAAAAACTAAATTCTCTCAAAGATTAGTCCAGTAAACGATGAACATTGTTCTCTTGAAGTCAGGAAACTGAAAAATAATGACACGATCGTGCAAAAGAGATTGTACTTTAATTTCTAGATTTTCAAAGTAGTTCGCAATCGACCACATTTTTAGAGTAGCAAGTCTCATTTCTTGTCGATTCGAGTCAAAGTTTTTTAAAAAAAAATTTTTTAATTAAAAAAAATTTTTTTTGGAATTTAAAAGAATTTTTTTTGTTGAGTTCTTAAAGGAACTTATTTTAAAAGCATTACATGAATTTATTTCTTTTTTTTAAATTCTAAAATTTTAACAGCATCAAGTCATTTTACAAAAATGTTAAAAGTTAATGCCAAGAGTGTGAAGAAAGATAAGAGAAACCGAATTTGTAAAAAAGGAAAAGAAAAGGAGTAATGAAGTTGAAGGGAAGGTCGAGAGAAAGTTTGAGAGAGTTTTCTAAGAATAAAAGGTGCAAAAGGAGAGAAGGATAAAATAGATTCCAGAAAGAAAAAGCGCGTGCTATTGGAAAAAGAAAAGAAAATTGTTAAGAATGGGTTAAGACAGAAAGTGAAAGAAAATACAAAAGAGGCAGTTAAAGTACCTTTGGTTTATCTGTATTCTGAAGGTGAAACAATAAAAATTTAATGGTTAAGAGGGTTTATATAAATAAAAAAAAAAATTTGCAAAAATTTTTTTTTTTTATAAATGTTATTAACTAATTGAAAATGTTGAACGTAAATAAATGTTATGTAGTTAAATATTAAATAAAATTAACTTTTATCGATTTGAAATGGCGTTCAGAACTCTATTTCGTTATTTATTTTTATAAATGAACAGTTTAACAATACAAAATTTTTTTTAAAAATAATAAAAATTCTATATTTTTATAATTTTCTTAAAAAAATGATAAAAATTCTCTATTTTTATCGCAAAATAATGTCAGTTATACTTCATTTTAAAACAAATAAAATTTCACTTGAAAAATTAAAATCGCATGTGTCAAACAATAAATATCGCACACGCCAAGTTTAGTTGAAGTACGAACCGACAACATCTTCAGTAGTATAGTGGTCAGTATCCCCGCCTGTCACGCGGGAGACCGGGGTTCGATTCCCCGCTGGAGAGAATTTTTTTTCATTTTTTTATAAATATAAAAAAAAATCTCATTTTACAATATTTTTAACTAATTTGATTCATTTTTACTTTCAGTTATATTTTTTCCATTTTTTACCATTATAATAACCGATCAAAAGAAAGAAAAAAAAACGAATGTCATGAAAAACATATTTCAATTAAATACCTATTTATATTTAGAAATTCCAACAATTTGAATAAAAATTTTTCAAAAAAACTAACTTCTTCAAAATGTTTAATTAAAAAATTATTGAAAATTGATTTTTAATTGCGTAAAAATGTCAAAGTGAATGAAAAATTTTAAAATAAATTTATAGTTTCATATTCTATAAAGAATTCAATGATTGTCAGAAATAAAAAATTCTTTTCAGGTTTTTTATTCAGAATTTACTAATGAATTCTGTTTCATTATTTTTACGATAAAATTTTAATAGAATTTGCAAAAATACAAATTATGCAATAAATAAGAAAATCTAAGTTATTTAAAAAAATCTTAAATTTAGATATCTTTTTCTAATAACGTTCTCGATTAATTATTTAAAAACTAAATTGTAAGGATGTACGACTTATGTAAATAAAATTTTTCGAAAATTTGAACTTTAAATATTTTGAAGTTAAGAATTTGTTGTAAAAATTCTCCAGCATTGGATTACTTGGAAAATTTGCAATCGATTAGCACTTCTCTAGTTTCTCTCTAATTTCAAAGGTATAGAAACCACCCTGTAAAATTTGAACCATCTCTGATGGAAAAAGACCGTCACCAAAAAATATTTATTTTTAGCGTTGGATTTCTCTTTCTAAACACACGTTTGTTTGCAGACACACAATATTTATTTGCATTTGTTTTAAAACAAAAAATCTACACTGAAGGATAAAATCAATTTAAAGAAAATAAAAATTCGAATACCTATTTTTTAATTTTTTAAAATTAAAAATATAAGTGCTAATATTTTGAGAAAATTATATAACATTGGATTATAATTATTAACCTAATTAATATAACTTTAAGTAAAATTTTCTCTGCCTGAATAATTTTTTTTCAACTATAATTTTTAATAGAAGTTCTAAGAAATAAATTTTAACTTTTTGAGAAACTATCTTCTTTAAATTATATTTATAGATTTTTATCCTATCAATTTTTTAAAAACTAAATATTTTTTAAATTTTTCGAAATGTATCAAATGTATAAAGACAAAAATGCCAGTGGGTTATTTTTCCTCCGTTTCGTAACCATAAAAAAAAACTAATAAATTTTGTTTTCTTTCGTTTGGAAAATATGATTTGGAGAAGAATTGTACAAATCTACAGCAATCTGCTTTTATGTGTTTAAATGTAGGTATCGTTTTTTTCCATGTCAGTCTTAAAATTCCCTCGTTTTTCACTTTATCCTTCCATTTTATATGTTCATTGCTTCCCTATATCCTTCTCATTTAAAATGTAATACATTTTTCACTTTTATTTTCTCTTGTGAATAAAAAGAATATTTTCAATCTATAAGGTGTGTAACAATTTATCTTCTACTATCTTTATTCGTTAAAAATATTAATTAGAAAAGCTGAAGAATATTAAAAACTATATTTTTTGCAGTGTTAATTTTATTAAAATATTATATTATATATTCCTTTTTTATGTCGAAAAGTTGCAAAAATTTTTTTTTTTGTTTAAGAATTCTTATTTCGGATTTTCCAATTTTACTTTAGATGGTCCACCGTATATTTATCTTCAAATTGTTACCCTTACCACTATTATGTTTATATCCCCTTCAGTATAGTCAACCAAGTTCATGGTCTGTAACAATCCCCTACGCAGTCAATACTTTTCACGGTGGGTCTGAATCAAGTTTAACCCAAAGAAACTTAGGTAGAAAAATTTTTTCTGCTCTCTTTTCTGATATTAAAAATTACTCCCAGATACAAAGATTCATAGAAAAAATATTTTTTAATTTTGACCTTAATTTTTTATTTTAAAAATCCGACTTCAAATTGATAATTAAAGACCCCACGAACCTCTATAATATACCGATTTTTATAAAGAATAATTTTTTAATTTTTTATTATAATTTTTAAAATATAGGATCCGCTATATTTATTTTTAAAATCTTCATTTGTAATCAACGAACCCAAAAACTGAAAAGAGATTTAAAACCCCATCGTAGGAAATTATGTACAAATCCTGAATCTGTATTCTCTCGATATTTGCCCAGAACATCGCCCTTTAGAATCAACCCCTTTTCTCTGCTTCTGAAATACGAAGGATCATTTTTTAAGTATCCAAGAAAGAGCGACGAAGACCTCTCGTGGATCCGCTTTAACCCCTCCTGTTTCGCTCTTCAACTGCCTTCTCATGCACAGTCATTGCAACACTTCATCGTCGTTATCCGCCTCTTCATGTTCTTTCTTGCCCCATCGACGAAAAATTACAGGTTCTTCAACCCATTTATCGATCTCCACGTTCACGTTTGTTTAAATATCGTAGGACTTTAGAATTTTTTCGATATCAGTCACAGATTAATTGATAATCTCATACTATCTAAAACAAATTTTTTTGGTGATTTTTAACAAGGACGATAAAATTTATAAAAATCTGTTTAATATCTATGATATATTAGCTGAACCGAAAACAATTTGAAGGAAATCTACTGCATTCTCTGTTTCCCCTATAGACAACGTCATTTCCTGGACCCCACACTGAAGGGGATATCGCTTATTGGGTCAACGAATAATTTTAAAACAAAAGTAACTAATACTTTTGAATTTAGTCCTCAATTTAAATTCCCGATTGATTCCACAAAATTATAATTTTCATTGTGTCTGAAGACATCTGGATCTACTTTTCCTCTGATTCTAATTATAAAGGATTCAAATAAAACCTTTGATAATTTTAATTTATTTTAACTTCCTTTTTCTTAGTGTCCCTTAATATCAAAGCCTTACGCTTTGTGAATAAATCAGGTTTGCGTTGCCGGACAATTTTTAATTTGGGATATGTTTAGTTTCCTTCTGAGACATAACAGTGTATAGATCGAATGTTGGGGGCAAAATTATTTTTCGCTCAATTCTGATCTTTATTTTTGAAAATTTGATCGTTTTTCACCCCTATGGAACTTACTCGAGAATTATTCTTTCAGTTAGAAAATAAATCAACTAAATCCTTCTTTTAAAGGGTAAGAATTTTTCTTCTCGTTCCATTTCTTCTTTAAACTGCGAAGTCCTTAGAAACTTTCTAAACTTTTTCATCCGAAACTAAAACTATTTTGATATCAGGAGCAAAGTGTAGAAAAAAATCGAAATGTGATAGGTTTTGCTCTATCACTTTTGTAGCGATATTCAGGAAGAGTTCTACCCCAAGATTCCTACACCGACATTTACCGACATTTAGCCCAGAGACAAACCACTTAGTCAAGATTCAAACCACAGGGTTTAAAAAATGTCGGTAAATGTCGGTGCAGAAATCTTGACGTACTTTCGAGCTTGTAACTTAAAAAATACTTTAGATTAATCACCAAAACTTTGGGCACACACATAAATTAATTAATTTGTTAATTAAATTATTAATTAATTCGTTAATTAAATTAATTAATTAGGCTCATATAAGGATTTTTTAAGTTACAAGACAATTTACAAAAAAAAATTTTTTAAGATTATATCCTAATTTTTTTAAAGCTTATGTTTAAATTAAAAAAAAACTGGCAGTGAAAGGATGTAAAAATTAAAATTTGTGACCTCTAGACGAACTGCGGTCTATGACCACCCACATTTGTCATATTTCGCGTGGGAATATTAAACAAAGTGTACTCTCATGTACAGTCAAGATATGCTATTATACAGAATCTTTTTGTGGCAAAGGAAGGTTTTCAAAGGATACACCTAATTTGAAAAGTTCAAAGTGCACAAATTCTCTTTCTTTAAATATGAATAAGGCTAAAGACAAAGTACAAAGATCTTGTTGGTGTTTTTTTTCGTTTTCAACCGTAAATTCATAGATTACTAGCTGGAAAATATATAACAACACTTGAATTGTATCCCTTACTATATCAATATTAACTTAACTATCTAAAAAAGAGTATTTAATATCTAAATATTAAATTTATCACATCAATATTTTTATCACTGATGGTTTGCGATTCTATTTTGATTTTATGTAAGTTTTTAAAGAACGTCTTTTAATTGAATAAAAATTTCTTACTAACCCCAGGGAAACTTTTATTTTTTAAAATAAAAATGTAAATAAATTGTGATTGTAAAATGCGTGAAACTAGAACTTTTGTGTACGACAGTATTTATAGCAGTTGTTTTATGAGTTGAGGTGTTTGGATAGTCAAACATTTCTTCTAGTTCACAACTTGTTCTTCCTTCGTGCACTAAAAGCATATAAAAGAAAAATTACACTGCGCTTTCTAATAAAATTAAAGTGGTTTATTATCCTGTTGAATTCTAGGGGAAATTGTAGACGAATTTAGATTTAAGGACCTGTATTCAAAAAAAGTTAATCTGTCCAATTTTTTGTCTATCACAGAATCCCCCATAAGTTTATTTTAATTTCGCGAACACAACTTTATTATTAACTATAACGGATCAACTGTTCAATGACAACATTGAATAGTTAGTTGATCCGTTAGTTTCAATAATCAATACTAAAATCCCTCTGTTAGAAAGTACTTCTAGGTTTAGGGTTTTATTATTCAGTAGTCACGTGGCATGTACACTATGGAAACACGTGACCAGTGAATAACATGTCCTTAAGGAACAAATACATATACGTTGATTGCACTGCGCCAGTTACGAAAAACGAAAAGTATATAAACTGCTCTTGGCAAACTTTATCACAGTTCATCGATATCATCTGCGGTTAGATTTTTGGCATTATTCTCTAAAGGTCTAGTTGCATCTACCCTTCGCGTTCAAAATACTTCCCAAATAGATAAATTGAATCTTCTCCAAAAATTATCAAGTTTCAATCAATTTTCTCTTTATTTATTTATTTATTACCTACAGAAAAATTCGATGTCAGCAGAAAACGCCTTCAAGTTAACTAATCAACTATTCTTCTTCGAGTCATCTCGTCTTAGTTAAATTCATTCAAGGAGATAATTTCTACTGCAAGGCACATTTCTATTTTTCTAAGGACTGCATTACCTTGACATCAACCTCAAATCAATAATTTAGTACCCCCAAAGCTAAAGGGTGTTCAATCTAATTTAAATCGACACCTGAACTCCGAACCTTTCAGATCGGGTGACCCGAAAATAATTTGAGGGAAATCTACTGCATTCTCTGTTTCCGCTAGACAACGTCATTTCCTCGACCTAACGCTGAAGCTTATTGGGGTCTACGAATAATTTTAAAACAAAAGTAACCAATGCTTTTGAATTTTGTCCCCAATTTAAATTCTCGATTGATTCCACAAAATTATAATTTTCAGTGTGTCTGAAGACATCTGGATCTACTTTTTCTTTCTGATTCTAATTGTAAAGGATTCAAATAAAACCTTAAAAGTATAGGTTTACAATTAAATTAGTGTAAACATAATTTAGTCGTAAACCTATTTATTTAATTGCAGCATTAATTTAAAAGATAGAAATAGTGATGAGGGTGGTCGGGTTCTAAAGCTTTTTTCAAAAATTCAAAATGGCGGATCCAATATGGCGGGTGAATTTTTAGTAAGTGACCCTCAATGTAAAGTAATCTGTTATACCAGAACTTTTGATTTTAGTAGCAAAAAGCTTGTGGCAAACTTTCTGAAAAATAGCGAAGCTCCTAATTATTGAAGTTGTATTGAATGTCAGGGACCTTAACAAGAACTAGAATACTAGATATAATTTCAGTAACGATAGACACCGTAATTAATAGTTTAAATACTGTAAACATACCCCAGCCAATCACAAGACAAAGCCTTAATTTGATATTGTCTCCAGTAAATGTTTGCACTACTAACAGGTACAGGTACAATCCTGTAAAATTGTATTTTAAATTTAAATTATTTGAAATAATATAAGAAATTTTAAGCTTAAATCCAGCTCGATCTCGGTGTCAGATTAGATTAAGCTTAAAAACAATTTTCTCGAAATTGTTTCAAAAATACAAATAACTAAAATAATTTCGATAAATTGAAATATATTGCATTTGGAATTACTAAAGACTTTAGAATTACTACAGACTTTGGAAATTTGGAATCACTATGAAGAAAAAGAAAATTAATAATCAGCAAATGCTTAGGAGAAAAGCTCATAAGGTATCGTAATAAAATTTATTACTACTCGATATATACCCACCTTCCACAAACATCCAGAAAAAATTGGTCAGTTGGAAATAATGAAGAAGAGAAAAGAAAGCAATACAGGTGGAAACGTCCGTTTGCACCGAGATCTAAAAGCAGATTAATAAAGCGTTACATGTTTTGGTAATCTCTCTCTCTCTTTCAATACTTTTTTTATTGCAAAAGTTCGAATAAAATTCTTCAACCTCTCATATAGAATTCGAATACGCAATATTGAAGTGAATACTAATCATTTTAAATCGATTGATGGAACACAAATAATAGAGAATTGATTGAATTATCTTTAGGAGATGATAAAAGAAGAATACAAATTTATTTTCATTGTTCTCTTTTATAATCCAGTATTTATAATTTATAATCAAGACTAAATTATTATTGACCCGTTGTGAAATTCAAGGCTTATAATTAACAGTATTCGATTTATATTCTCTAGGTTTTCTGTTTATAACTAATCGAAGAATAAATAAATCTTTATATTGTAAGTAGAACTTACTTGCAGTACTGTTGTTAAGATCCATGTAAAATCTGCTAATATATACGTCAACATCAGATGTGTATGAATATTATTCCTGAGACACCTAAGTTCTCTGAAAAAATAACAAAATCTAAATTTATAAGAAATTGATAGCTAGAGAAAAAACTGTCTGTTCTTTTATAGAAATACTGTTTTTAATTTGTCATCATCAGCATTTATTAAAGGGATCATCCATTAAGTCTGTGATGGTTAATTTCGGTAAATTAACCCTTTACATAAAAATTTATGTAATTAATTTGTATACTCACTTATAGTACAAAAATATAGATACTGCAACAATTAGAGAGATTAGTGATAGACTATAGCCGATAATATAAATCATGGTGGTAATTTCCACTCCGGATTCCACTGGCGGGACTCGAACATCGTGGCATTGGGAGTAATTCGAATAGCTGTCCCAAGTACCATTTGGCCAACACCATCTACTTGCATTTTCTGAAAATTGAAAATTTTCCTGATTAGATTAGATGCGACAAATGTCAAAACTTTTCATTTCAATAAAATAACATTTAGGAGTAAATTTTTTCTGAACTGGTCAGGGATCAATGCACCTACATGTCAGCTAACATTCCTAATAGAAAAACAGCTAATTGTTTAGTAGCGATGGGATTTTTTTGTAGTTTTACGAACTTTTTTCGTTTCTCTGGTGGTGTCAGGGGTGGGATTTTTTGAAGCATTCCTAAAATATCGACCTTTTAGTTGTCTTGATGAGTAAGTCTAAACCAATGTTAGCGGATGTTTAACCCCTTAAGTCTACTTAATTTGAAAAATCACTTTCTGGTAGCAAATGCATTAATTAACCATCTAAAAATAATTTTATACTTCCTACTTATTGAAATTGAAGAAATTTAATATCAAAAAAGCAAATGTGGTTAATTGGACGTAGGGATAATTGGAATCCAGGTAGTTAGAGTTCCAGTCTATATTAATTTTTATTTCACCCAATATTCGTAAAAATATGAAACAATACGAATATTTTCAATTTATAAAATATTTTAAAAGTAAAGTTTTTTTTATTTTTGACCTTTGCAAGAATAATAGAACTACTCACAGAATTACTAGAACCCCTTACAATAGGGTTATATTACAATAAGGTCTTTGATAATAATGAGAATTAACTTTAAAGACTCAGGTAATAATTTCTTTCTTCCTCTATCTCAATGAAAATAATATCTTTGTTTAAAATTCTAAAGTTGGGAATATAGCTAAAGATTAAGAATAGAATTCAGTAATATGATCACTGTAACTTGACGTTGAATATTAAATAATTTATAACCAAAATTGATTACTCCGAACTCTAGAAACTAAAATTATTCTTGATAATTGTTTGTGATTATTCTTAGACACCAATAAGAAAAAAATCAAAATCAGTTGGAATATTTCAGTAAACAGCTCTTTGGTTTACCTTCTCCCCCTCACTTTTTGAATCGAAGATTGTTTCAGTAACGATTTTATGTCAAATAAACCTATTGATAAGCGCCTAGATGACTTTCTCCCTTATTTACCAGACATTTATATAACATCAGAGTTGTAATTTTCCACCTCATACCTAAACTGACTATTATTATCAATAAAATCGAAATACATATTTTGTTCGGAATTTAATTCCGCATACTATAAAAATCCAAATATTTAAGTCTAGAAAACTGTCCCGTGAATTGTGTGTATATCAAAATAGGAACTAGAGCGGAAAGATATAAAAATTCTTTTTAGAAATGAAAAAAAAGGTCTTTCTAATGAAATGGAAATTATATTTTGCAAATATAAAAATATTTGCAAAATAAATCGATGGGAAAATATATATCAAAATAATATGTTTTCAGTAGATTTTTTGCCAATTACGAGGGTAAATTAATAAGCTTACACATGTCGAGTTAATTGGTATAATTTTATATCAAAGGTAAATTGTCACTGGCTTAAAGGGGGATATAGTCTTATGCAACATGAAATTTATTTAAATTATTTTAACTTTTTTAAAAAAAAATTTATCTTTTGTTTTTTAGAAAGTGATCGGATGACATAAATGTTATTAATTTCATGCTAATTAAAGTTTATATAGTTTGGCGAATTTTGAAATATTATACTTTTGATGAAAGTCCATGTAACTTTGATAATTCAATTCAATGTTATATAACAGCTTTTAATTCGACGTGGAACATCATAATTTCGTGTTGTTAACGAATAGAATTCATATGTTAAAATGTGCCTCTACCTCACGTGTATCTAACGAAGGTATTAATTAATTTCTTTTTAAATTTTGATTTTCAGTTACTGTCGATTAATATAAAAGAGATAATAGCAGGATATCTACTATTTTTAATTCTTTTTTGAAAATATATATTTTTAACGCTGGATATAATTAAATTTAATAAAAAAAATTAAAAGTTCCAAACTTAATAGTTTTTACAAAAAATATTTATTTTCGAATGTCATACTTTTAAGAGGTCAAGGTAGACTTAAAAGAATTATGATTCCTCAAGGGGTAATGATACTTTAAAGTTGTTCAGACAAAGAAAAACTACCTCAGTTATTTTTGGCGTTAGTATTTCAATGTTTTGTAACTTTAAATAGCGACAATAAAACATTTCTACGCACTGGCTTCAACTGACGTTGTTTCTTGTCTCATAAACTGTCATGCAACGCTGCTTACATCTCTAGCTTTAATTTAAGACCCAACAAAGTTGGCTACATAGTTAGAGGTCTTGAATTGCATAAAATAAACTAGAGAAATTAAAAGGTCGTAAAACAGCAAAAGAATCCCACCGCTGCCACCGTTATAACAAAAAATCCAAAAATCCCACCGCTGACACCTTTTAGTTGTTTTGATGAGTAAGTCTAAACCAATTTTAGTGAATGTAACCCCTTAAATGTACTTAATTTAGAAAATCACTTTAATGATCCTAACGTCCCTCGTTAATTTAAAAAGGAAAAATATTATTTAATCTGCTAAACTAAATTCTTACGTTCTCTTGTAATTTGCTGATTTAAAACTGTCGCCTCGCTTCTCACAAATAAATTTTCCCCGAGGACCCAATGGAGCATATTCAAAGTATCCCGAAACTCTCAAAATTCGATTCATTAATTTCCGAGCGTAGGAGTTCGTTAACCACCGAATTCGTTAATTTATGCAAAAATTAACTACGCCGGGAGTCATGATCGTTAATTTTTAATGGCTTTAAAAAAATCAACAGCAAGAGGAATTGGATAGAAAATTTAAGAAATAAGGATGTAAGGGTACATTAGCGTAGGGGAATGATGTGGCATTGATGGCTGAGGATAAAAATGCTACGAGTTTTTTTTTATTATAGATTACAGGTGGTACGTAACGTAAAAGGAAACGGCGAAGGTGGTGAAACTCAAAAAGAAAAAAAATCAAGAGTTATGGAAGATGGATGATGGAAGAGGTGTGCGAATTATGTTATTTGAAATATCGAAGGGAGGAGGTAGATCCTCTATACACGTCTGACATGAGTCTGGTTTTCAGAATATTTTTTCCCAAGCAAACTATTTAGTTTGATGCGAAAACTTTTCACACATGTTGGGGAAAAAAATTTTCATCAGAAGCATAAAACAATTTTTTCTTCATCGAATAAGTAAAGTAAAGAACACAGAAAACTATTAAGAATTGAAAAATATTCTCCTTTGTTTGAAGTTATCAAACAGATGCATTTTTATAATTCTTTCACATACTGCACGTAATTTTACCAAGATTTATCATGGGTACCGTCCGTATTGATCTAATTTCCCTCAACATTTACATAAAGATATAAATTTTCAACCTTCATTCAAATGTTATTTCAAACTGAAATTCATTTTATTCATGGAGAGAGATTTTGTTTTCTTATTATTCTTACCATCAACCTGTCTCCATTTCCCCATTTAAATATGCAATGTGAATTATAATTTTTGTTGAAAGATATTAGAATTATCAAGAAAAGTTTGGTAAACAATTTTTGAACTTAAATTGAAGAAAATATATAAAAATTTCGACATAGATGGTCGAATCGAAATGATGGTATTTATTTTAAATGAATTGGGAATTGGGATAATCATCAGGATTACTATACTTTTTATAGTTATTTTTTTATGTAAAAAATTATTTAATTTTGTAAAATATTACATGCATAGTAACGTCTTAAATTTATTTGACAGGTTTTGACATTTTACGAGAATCTATAACTGAATATAAGTATAATATGCATTGCATCAGATTGTACAAAGTGCGTGACGTTGTTATCGATTCACCATAAACGTGAGAAACATGTACATTGTGTAACACGAGTAGATATCAGAAAAATATTTATTATCGAAGGGAAAATGGGAAAACTATTCAAGTCAAGTAATTAAAAATATAATAAGAAAAATTGTTATATTTAATGTTGTGTATAGTAATTAATTGGTAATTAATTAGTTATTCTAATAAGACAATATCTCCTTAAGAACTATCTTTACAGATGATTTTTATGTATCACGGAATTTAGAAACTGATTTCTACAGAAGTAAAATCAACTTGAAACGATGACAGCGGTAGGATTTTTTGAAGCATTCTTAAAATACGGACCTTTTTGTTGTCTTGATGAGTAAGTCTAAACCAATTTTAACGGATGTAACCCCTTAAATATACTTAATTTAGAAAATCACTTTAATGATCCTAACGTCCCTCGTTAATTTAAAAAGGAAAAATATTATTTAATCTACCAAACTAAATTCTTACGTTCTCTTCTAATTTGCTGATTTAAAACAGTTTCTCTGGTGGTGGCAGCGGTGGGATTTTTTTATTTTTCCTTATAACGGTGGAAGCAAAAAGCGAACAAGAAATTCAGAGACATTGCGAAAAAAATTATGAAACCATTCAGAAAGAAAACAGTTATTACATTCAATGCAAACAACAAATTCTAATTATAACTTTGCAAAAAATTAATAAGTATCGATAGAATGCAGACTTGTGTAAAAGAAATTATTACAATACTCTTCCACCATCAGAGAAACAATTTGCAAGAAAATTAATTTCAAACTTGAATGTATTTTCTGTAGATTTGTATTTTATTTTATATATAGAGACGAGAGAGAAATTGGTATTATAATAAATTGAGCGTGCGGTCAGAAGTTTCAGAAAAGTACTTTTCTTTTTTCTTTTATACTTCACTTCACATCATTATACACGATCGTTCATCTACACTCGAGCAGATATAGCGAGGGTTGCGAACATTTCTCATCAGGAATGCAATATATCGATTAAAGTATATACCTTTTTGAAATTTACCAATGGTTAAAAGTTTGCTGAAAAAAAAATAAACCAACTTATAAATAAAATTCAAATGCTCAACAGTATTTATTCGTCCACTTCAAATGCAAAATTTGATATTTATGATCAAGTTTAAAAATCCCCCTTGTGATATACTAACAGTTATGAATCCAATTCATGAATGCTTTTT